TCTGCTGACATTGCATGAATATTTCTTGGCAAATCTAACAGCTCAAGAGGGAAAACCTCAATACTTAAATTCAGATTTATCAAAACATGTTTTGCCCTCAGCAAAAATATTAAATGGATTTGGTTTTTTTTTTTTTTTCAAGCCAGAGAGCACTGATAGCAATAAGTCTCAACACTTCATTTGAAAAGAAGCAGCATATTAGAAACACCGGAGATGTGCTGAGCTAATTAAACCACTGCTATTGTACTGTTGCAAGTTCTATAATGAAGAAGTACTTTCATATTACTCTGCCAAAAAGTCCTTTAAGTACAGTTTTTATATAAACGTATATAATTAAGTCCAATTGGTCTCCAGTCAGACTCCTGTAAAAGTCAATGTTCTGACAGCTCTGCTTCTGGTGAAGGTTCACATGCAACGGGGCCAAGTCAACGAGTTACATCATCATCAACATCAGGCTCACAGAAGCTACCAGTAGGACAATGAGCAGCAGGTCACCACATCCAGGGTTTAAAGGAAGAGGAAGATGCTAAGATCAGTATAGCAGTGAAGATTTTAAATCAGCCAATAACCTCAATGGAATGAAAAGGCTCATCAGGAATTTTACAGCAGTCCTTTTTTGACATCTTCAAAATGAAGCCCAAGACTGGAATGTTTTCTACAACATGGTCCAGTTTACAGTTGTCAGTTCAACCTCCAACAAGACCAACGCCATAAGACTTGAAGAATGTCACCCAACGTTTGCCTCATGTCTCCGCTTGTTCTGTGATCTTCACTGCTCAGGTGTTTTTACATCTACTCCATTATCTGATCCAGGAACAGCAGCACCTCTCTTCACAGCAAGAACTCCTTCATGATTGAATTTCTCCTTGCCATCAGACCCCATTGGAGACAACAGCATCAACTTATCACTTAACAAATCAGCTGCTCTAATTTCCTCACTAGTGAAATATCTCCAACCAAATCATCATTTCATTTATCTTCAAATCTTTCCATAGCTGATTTAACATGTAATTTTCACAGAAAACTTCTAAACCCAGAACCATTTTTATTAAGCTGTTATTTTTAATCCTATGTGACATTAGACACACTTTTGTAGTCAAGTCTTTATCAAGTGCTTGAGATTAAATAAGTGGAATATCTTCACTAGACAAACATCCACCTGGAATGAAGTCAAACTGAACTGTCTTGCTTCATTTAGCCTTCTGCTAAATCTTAGCTCAAATGTATATTCTTTGCTGCAGATTCAATAATAATGGAATAATTCACTGGAAGCCTAGGAGTGGTTCATGTGCCAACATATGAGTACTGAGTTGATCTTAACCCCCTTGATCTTAAAGTCGGACAACAACAGTTTGACACATTCGTATATACAGCTGCTAAAATATTACCTAGTTCCACGTGAAGAGAAATGTTATGCACACTTGAGAGAAGTGATGTTATAAAGCTACAGATTATTTCAATAACAAAGCCCCACATACATTTGTATCTTATCGTGTCATAAATGCTTTTCCTGCCTCGTTTTTCCAAAAGGTCCAACCAAACCAGGCACCAACAGACTATGACAGTTTGGAAAAAACAAAAAATAAACAAAATTAGAAAAAATTGACAAAAAAGTAAATCTTACACATAAAGACACTGTCATTTTCTTAAATTATTGTTTTTAGTGCCCTATATTTTACACCCAGTCTTCAGTTTGTCTTTAAGGCTGCCTGACAGACAGCCAGCCTGTGTTAAACCTATGGTACTTCTAGACAACATTATGTAAATTTACAGTATACAATTTTGGATTACCATGCAAGAATACTTTTTTGTGTAACATTTAATAGCTCAATCTACATCCAGGAATAATTTACAAAGGACAAAAGTTATTGAACCAGAAAGCGCGACAGGGAGAACCATGATGATAAGTGCAGCTGGAGGAGGTGACGCTTTATAAGTGAAATTGTTAGATGGAGGGAAGGACAGTATGAAGAAGGGAGAGGTGGTATGGCAGAAGGGACGGTGGGATAAGAAGAGCATCTGGGCAATTAGGATGGTAGTCAAATCCTCCGAGGTGCACATCAGCGGCACTCCCACACTTTTACAGTTTGATCTACACTCCCGGTGACGACGTAGGGAGCAGCCTTGTGGAAATCTAGAGATAAAAACAAAGACCTTTTCAGAACAAATCAAAACAAACCTGTGACGAAAGATCAGAAAGGAAGAAATATGTCCTGGTTAACATGCACAAAAATATAAGGGCATGGCTTGTTGTGTGTGGTTGAGATTATCCAAAATAAAATCATCATTTGTCAGTGACAAAATAATCATAAACAGGTTCATGGATAAAAAAAAGCTCACAGTAATACTTCCTCAAGAGAATTCTTCAGCCTTGGTCTGCTAAAAAGCTGCAGATATGGGGGGCAGGAGAATGCCATTTGCTTGTCCTACTTTTTAAAGTCCTACTGCTAGGAATTCTCAGGACAATAAACACTCTTCTGGTGAAGAAGCAAGAATTCTTTATTATATTATATATTATATGTATTATTTATAAGCAAAAAATATTTTCCCCATAGCAGGTATGAGCTCAAGACCAGTAACAAGAGTGGAGGTTTTGAAATGTGCTGCAGAAGACCAAACTGTCAAAACAAAATTAAATGAAATAATACGAAAAGAGAGGGAGTTCTTACCCAGAGAGGTAACAAAGTGTTCATGGGCATAAAGGGTTTTCATGCAACGCTTGTTCTTGTAGTCCCAGATCCTTAAGGTCTTATCATCTGCACAAGTCACAATGAACTTGCCACCAGGGTGGAAGAGGACCCCACGCACCCAGTTGTCATGACCAACCTTAGAAAAAGAGAAGGAAAGAGAGTCAACACTGCTTAAGACACCAGCAGAAAACCAGTTCATTACTGTGAGTTGTAAAAATATGCCAGACCAGAGCTTAATTATAGATAATTTTATTAAATGAAATGCGCTTAAGAAAGTCCTCACCAGTGTCATAAGGCACATTCCAGTGCTAACATCCCACATCTTAATGGTTTTGTCTCTGGAACCAGACAGCAGGAAGGGACCTGGCTTACCACTCTTCTTGTTCTGGTTACACACAAAGGCAAAAAATATTTAACCTTCAGCCCATCAAACCTGAGGGAATACAGACTGATTTATTGAAAAAGTTTGAAAATACACATGTAATCTAAGGTTGAGCAATAAAATGTATTCCAATCACTTATGGCACTTTGCCGATAACAATTAATATGATGATTAATACATTACAATTGCACTTACATGTTTTTTCACTCTAAATCAGTTACCCTGTGTTCTAAAATTATACTTACCAACCAGCAGTCAAACTAACATTTTTATTCTAATATGTTAAAATAGTAAGATGTGATTAGTGACCAACCAGCCATGTATGAAATGTGTAAACATTAACAGTATACTGATGAATCTTGTTGCACAGACACATTAAAATGAATCAGGAAAAAAACAAAATAAAGGTCACAACAGTGATTGTTTCAAGTTTAAATAAAAGTGTGTGCAAATTAACCTGTGGCTAGAATGACGCATATTAGCACGTTTTCACTCATACGGTTGAACAGCAGTAAAAATAAACTGAAATATTACAAACATAACAATTTCAAGTTTAAATGTATGTCTGTGAAATTGGACCGAAGAGCTATAGCCAGGATTCAGTAAGTAAGTGAGTACTCGCGTGCGTTTGTTGGTGATAGTGTGTCGCACAAACACAAATGTCACGCGACAGGATTGTCAACTCCCTTCTCAGCTCAATACGGAAGCACCCTACTATTCATTAGATCTATTTACAATATAAAGGCTATATTTGATTCTCACAGTAAAATGAGACAAAGTGTGTCCCTTTTCAGCTCAAAGGAATTCATATTTTTGTTCCAAAATAAGTGCAATTTAGTTTTTCAAGGGACAGTTTAGCAACCCTAATAACGCAGTACTAATCATAGTATCGTAGCCAGTTCTCCTGACAATTAATCGCACAAGGTACAATTTCGCACGAGCCTAGTAATAATTGTGCAACAGTGGTATTAAAGATTCAGAAATCCAACATAAATATCCAATCAGATGATTTTCTACTGACTTAAAGGTGTTGTCAGCACCATTGCAAATATGTCCTGGTTTGACAGAAGATGTCACCACTGAAAGCTAATTTAAATTGCATTTCACATAACAGGAGGATTCAGTTGGATTAACATGGTAATGAAATTTAAATCAGAATTTAGTGAAACATATGATAACTTGAACCTTGACGGGTTAGAAGACAAAACACGCTGCAAGGAAAGTATTGACTTAACATGACCGTCACAATTGGACACACAAGATCACAAGGCATTGAGTATGCAGTAAGGGCTGGCTGCAGGCCCTGCTGAGGTTCACACACTACATTTGAATCAGTTTGTTCACATGGACATCAGTGAGAGCAATAATGTACAAGATTCACCAACATTGCCACATATAGGGAGTGGGAACATGTCCTTCACCAGCTAATGCTTTGTTCAGTGTCAACACAACACTGACTGTACTAACCGTAGCACATTTCTAAGGAGTTAATTACTAATTACAGATGTGTGCACCTAAAACAACTATGGCATAAACCATAAAACAGCTAGATACTGCTGACTAACATGGATTAAAACCAAGTGAGGGTCTCATACCAATAACAACAACAAAAATTAAAGGAAGGTTTGAAGACAAGCAGTTTTTACAAGCAGGATTAAGCCTACTAAGATAATGCCCCCCTTTCAACTGAAGACAAAGCTTTCAAATGTTATTCTTTTGTTTCGCTATTCTTTTTTTACCTCAGTGCCTGTGGCATCCAGGATGGTAGGATGGGCACTCTCTGGTGCCCAGGAGATGCACTCCACCACATGTTCATGCTCCCGCAGCTCAGCCTTGCACTCTTTTGTTGCAACAACCCATACACGCACTGTCTGGTCATTGGAACAGCTGGCAATAAGTGTTCCATCCTGGTTGGGCCGAACCATGCGAACCCATTCCCGATGGCCTGTGAAGGTCTTCACACAGTAGCTAAATAGGCAGACAACAAATAAAGTGTCTCAACAGTAGATTAAAAAAAACATCGATAAAAAACAAATATTGTGGTTTTTGGATCAAAGATGCAGTTGGATTCCTCATACCCAGTTGCCACCTCCCACATTTTTATGGTTTTGTCTCTTGAGGCAGAAACAATGTGATCACCATTGGGCATGATGGCTACAGACGAAACATTGTGGTCATGTCCTAAAAAGCAGAAAAGACTAAATAAGATCTCAATGCAAATCTTCCAGTGTTTACAAAGCTAATGTATTCCTGAATGGAAAAGAAAGAAAAGGAGTTAAAGGGATTTTCAGACACAGGCATAAATAAGAGCTAAATAAAATTGTTCCAAATAAATTGTGAACAGTTAGATTTATTGATTAATTAGTAAAGGAGCAATTTGCCTGTGTAAGAGCAGGCATACACTGTACGATTTTAGCCCTTTTTTGACCCTGTTTTCAAACGCACGACCTGCTGACGCTCGGCCCGATTTCACGTTTTGTTGGGCATCTTTTTCCGTACAGTGTACAGGGGGTAACGAGGACCAATTATCTGTTCCCGAACAACCGTCGAACGTTCGAAAGAATTTCTGACATGTCAGAAATTTTTTGGTCGGCCGACAAATCGCCGCACAGTTCGTCACACAGTGGAAGCATAGCCCCAAGCCGACTGGAGCATTTCTACCTCAGTGCGCCTGCGCAAAGTGATAGTCACCATGGCGAGGCGTCGGTGGCATAAAAATATGGAGATGAGATTAATAGAGTTGTGGCACTGTCCACAATAAACGTAATAAATAATAAATAAACGTACTGTCCACGTTTATTTAGCCATCTCCGACTCCAGATGCGCCGGCGCCTCTTCTTTTTCCCATTTTCAGCGCACAGTATCGCAGCAATCATAATGGCAGCCTTCTTCTTTATAAATAGCATGTTGCTAATAACCGGCGTCAGAGCTTTCAAATAAATCTTTATTGACAGCTGTCAATAGACAGGACAGTCGGCAGGGGCCGACGAGCCGTTTTCACCAGCACAGTGTGAGCTCTGTGGCACATTTTCAAAAATCGTACAGTGTATGCCCACCCTAAATATGATGTACTGGAGACACCATCAAGATAGGATGTGGAGAAAACATTAGAGAATGACAGCACAGGCAGTGGTGCAGATGGAAATTTTAAAATATTACAGCAATAACACAGTCTGTGCTCAGTTTACTGTTGTCTGGTACACTATTTGTATAGTGTATGTAGTATGTGATATGTGGAGTTTACACAAATATAGCACAATTTGATTTTATATATACAGCATTCTTGTCCTACCATGCATGGTCCTGATGCATTCAAAGCCTTGAAAATCCCACAGCTTGATAGTCATGTCTGCAGAGCAGGATGCCAGCAGTTTACCAGTATGATCAAAAGAGATGTCCTGAACTGAATCTGTGTGGCCTTTCAGTGTGCGTTCAAAGTCTCCTGATTCATAGTCCCAAACCTGGAAGACAGACCATAGACTTTTTCTTAAGAGGAGCCTCGATGTGCTTTGCTGGTTTTAAGATTAAACTTAACAGGTGAGGAAAAGTGTGTAAAAACAAGTCTTTTTATTTAATTGAAAATAGAAAAGTTTTTCTTTATCTTCTTACCTCTTTAGCTCCCCCTCTGTCACTCACTTTGTATAAAGCATCCAATATTTAGGCAAATTGTCAGAGCTACAGATTTTATACTCTCCAGATATCTAATACAAACTCTGAAATTATTAACCTTTCTACCCAGTGATAATTATGAAAAATACAACAAAAATTAAAAGGAAATGCGAGAAACCAGTTCATTCAAATTCTGCCCATCAACATAAGGAACAGATACATTTACACTTAGCTTAACAGACCCATTCAGTGGAGGATGGGGGGAAAGTTAATCAGGGTGGAATTTTAAACTAGGGAGATCTGTTTTCTCTGAAGGGGACATAGATCAGCCATGCAGTCCTGACGGGAAACCTAAGCCTTATGTGCAAAAGAAATAAAGCAGTTTGATAAAGGAGCTCAGAGGAAGGAGATAGGCCAAGGCTCTTTGTGCTGTATGAGTAGCCAAGGAAGACATGAATAAGTGTGTCTTATATCCAGTGAGGGACACTGCAGCAAATACACTGTAGTCCAGAAAAAACAAAGAACATAGTGGAAAAAGTAGGATGTGCATAAAGGATGTAGACTTCCATTGTATAAGAGAGAATAGTTGCATTTACATTAACACTGGCTGTTATTTTAAACCTGAATGATAAATATGAGAGGAGGGTTGTTAAAACACCACACAACAGATTCTATTCTGTTTCACAGCTGTTAAATTCTGAATAATAATGCTTTTTTTAAAATAAAATGCTTTATTTTAAGCTGGACAACGTCCACATGCTTTCATCTTTAAAAGAAAGGGGCTGGTGTTTTGAAAATATAGATCATGTTGTTCAAAACTGTCAATCACAGAACATGCAGTATCTATTTATTTAATAAGCAATTCTTTTATGTGAACATGTCTCACACATGCTCTGCTCTACGACCTTGCCCTAACAAGGCATCAGCTGATCAGAATTCCCTTGGGCAAAACAAAAAGGATATACTGTCTTTCCCTGATACGTTCCAAAGCCAGATTACTTTAAAATGTTAAAAACGTTTGACCTATAACCTGTCTATGACAAAGAGAAAAGAAACACTATTTAAGAATTTATAAAAAGGTGAGAACAAAAAAAAAAGTAGTAGTCAGTTTATGTTATGAATTCAATAAAGTCACATGGTATCTGAAGCAAACCAATCTGGTGACAAATTACTGCACAGCCCTGGGGTGTTTGTTACAAGGTTAAGCCTAGTAAAGAATACAAAGTAATTAAACATCTAACATTTTCTGGTCCATTTGTACCACTTAATGCTTGGAGGTTGAAGAGCAAATCTAAACACTGATCCAAAAGCTCTATACAAATGCAATAAGATAGACACTTTTAGACCAGCGCTCACCTTTATTGTGGCGTCTTCAGATGCAGACACCATGACACTGAAGACTGGGTGGAAAATGACACGGGTGACTGGACTGCGATGCCCACTCAGCGCGTACCGCTCTGGTGGACGTGGGATCCATTCTTTTGGGTCACGTTTCTGACTAACGGGGCCACCAAGAGTGATCTCCTCTTTAGCTTCATTTAGTTTAGATTCAAGCTCCATTACCTGTTTGAAGAATGCAAGTTAACAGATTGACAGTGTGACTGAAGAGAGCACAAAACAAGTGTAGGCTAAATTTCTATCTAAATTAATACCATGGAAGAAATGCATACATCTTTAATATCTTAAATATTTACTGTGGTACTCTTCTTTAAGTGTTAAGAGTGGATTAAACAGTGAGCTCATTAATCACTTAGTTGAACTTTTACATGAATCTTTAAAGAAGAAAATGAACCAGAAAAAACACAAACCTTCTTTTGTAATCGAATGACAGAGGTCCATTTTTTTTCCAAAAGGCCAGCGTACTTTTTATCCAATTCTTCATTCTGTGGAATAAAAGGGTGAGGTTAAACAGAACACATTTTTTTATAGTACTTATTCCCTTCAGTATGAATAGTAGTAAGTATGAATAATACACAAAGGAGGTTCATTTTGTGATCTTATTACATTTTGTGTAGATCAGTGGACACTTGGAGAGGCATGTGGAAGATAAGGAATTATATAAATGTATCAAAGGCCAAGTCTGACTTTGTACCGTACCAAACATGTTCACACACTTGTTCGCACCCACATATTCATTACCTTACACACGCACGCGATTCTTAATCCTTCTCACACATGCTAATCTCCTGCAGACACAACCAAATATTACTGGAGACTGAAATGAAAGTTACCTCGTGGTAGCCATTGTGGATAAAATCCTTGAAGCACACAACGCTACAAGGTGCTTGCCAAACAGGGAGTTTTATTACAGCTCACTTGCAAAGCATTAGACCTGAAGTAATGCCTTCTAATTATGATAATTCACTATTAGAAAAGACAAAGGGACAGAACTGTTACTTTGTTTATTAAAATAAAAGAAAGTATTTCATTTTTAGAAGAGAATTTAACTTCACTCACTTATTTTTAACATAATACTGCAACCCCTGTTTTGAATGTTAATGTTTAAATCAAACAAAATTTGCAAATGCACTCACTGAAAACGTGCATCATTTAGTGTACACTCAACAGTTTCTAATGCATGTGTTAATGTCTGCTTTTTAAGTAAAGCAATGACAGAAAAAAACTGTCACTGACAAAGAAGCACTGCAGTTCAGCGAGCTAGAAAATAAGTGTTTTCACTGCAATTTCACAAGTAGCTCAATAGAGCTGATCGTATTTAACACCTCTCTGTAACAAGAGGCGTTTCCTCAATCACAGTAAAGGGTGTGTATAAGACAAAGACATGAACCGAGGCAAAGGGAGGAGAAGGAAAACAAAGGAAGCAAATCAAGAATGACATTGGAGTCTGCCATCATCTAATCTGCCATCTGTCTGGACATTCTGCCCAAAACCAAGGCAAACACATACAGACACATACCCATATGGACAAGAGAAATGGACTGTGCCAGACCTTGTACTGTTCTACCAGCCTAAGGACAATACAAGGAACTTTTGTGCATCCATACCTGCACTTTTGTTAGGATGTAGGTGTTTTATACAAAGCAAAATAGGACATTGACAACTCTTTTCTTCTAATTTATGCTGACAATGCAAATATAAAAATGACACATCAAGGTGTGATGAATTAATAATAAAATTGGAATGAGTTGTATTGTGAACTGCAATAATATCCTTTTGAAGGTGTTCACTGTAAATCTACTCACATTATCTAATTCTGCCTCCTTTTTGAACGTGGAATATGCCTCTTCATATCCATTGGAACGTAGATAATCGGCTATTGCTCGATTTCTGAAACAGACAAAAGGGGGAAAAAATCAATACTTAGAATTAGCAGGGGAAAACATCTAGTTAGTGGCACAAGAAAGATGAAAATAAATTTGCACCCAATACCTTACAAACAAAATAAAAGACATGGGGTATTTACTGAAGAGAAAAAAAAAACACCATTACCATTTCACAGAGTCACAGTGAGAGTACACATCTGAATTTAATGATGAGCTCATGTATGATAGAAGAGAAAGACTCAAAGTTCTAAACGTCCCACGTACACCACGGCTGTTAGCTGGGTCTCTGATAGCTATACAAATTAGGTTAAAATTTTCTTTTAATAGGAGGCCATATTTCCACCACACCTGTGCAAAGTGAACTCCATCATTAGAGCTAGAAGAAGCCAGACAAGCTGTCAGGCAGCAAGGCTCTAAGATGCCAATATAAAGAGTTGGGGGGGTACAATCTGTCAGCCCAGCCTGTGCCCCCTGTGCCCTTTTGGACAGGGTTGAGGACTAAAATCACCCTCTTGGTCTGCCCACCTGAGTCTATATGACAACAGAAGCACGTTGTAATACAGCTCAAGGTTAGCAAAAGGTTATGTACTCCTCTGACAGTCTTCTGCTGGAGGTCTACTGCAGTGGGTTATACTAGCTTAAAGAAATTTAAGGGACGAGACATGAGGGAAGCCAGAGTCTATTAATATGTGTGGGTGTGTTATTCAAGTATGTACAACCTGAACTGTTCACATCAAGTCAGAGAGTGAGCTACTGCAGAATTTCGAAGATCACAAGTAAGAATTTAACGTTACTTAAATGTCATAAACACTTGTGAACATTAAGCACAAGTAAATAGTATTTTCTTTTCTTATTTGATTCGAGGCTTATTGAGGAATGTTGTTTTTTTTTTTTTATTCTTCCACTCTCCTCTTCACTGTGCAGCTCAAACACTAGAATGTGTATGCAGCAGAAGCGCTGATATCAAAACACAGCACCTGTGTTTTGATATCAGCGTAACCCATCTGTAATTTGTGCTGCCAACTAGACAAACAGAACAAAGAAGTTTTATTCTAGGGGATTAAAAAACGTGTACCATATATTTGATGATTTAACAATTTGTTCATTGTAGTCATGCATTGTAGAAACCACATAATTTTGTCCTTGGTCTAACTGCATACAAAGCCAAGGGACAATTGGAAAAAAAACAAATATCACATGAACTAGTTTGTAGTCTAAGATACGATGATACTAAGCATCAAAGCAAAGGCTAGCATCTGCAAACAGATGCCTCCAGGTTTTTCTATTTTTATTACACACTAGCGGCCCTGAGTCTCCTGACCCTGCAAATTTGCACAACTGAGCTTTTCATTGAATGTGATTTTAAAAATAGAGTTAATGTGAAGATGCTGTAACAAGTACAACATCTGACTGTGGTGCTTACAAAATTGCATAAGTTTAGAGGGGGTCTTTGTATTTCTTCCTTGAACATAACCTGTACAATTATGTCACAATATGTCAACTGTTTGTTTGTTTTTTTCCAACTGAGACCCACTGTTACACAATGTCCAAAAGGACACAACATCTAATGGCCCTAACAATCACATGTCAAATGTTTTGTTCAGTTAAATGGACAATAGAGCAACTGGGACTATCGGTGATAAATCAAGTTTTTTTTCTTCACTTGACCCCTTTCCAAATCTTTTCCCTAGCACTTCTAATTAATTGGTAAAATATTTCCTCAATATGGTGACAGAGATTTTTAGGAATGACTACTTGTGATGTGGTCACCTGATGTGAAGTGTTACAGCATCTCTGGGTACTCTAATGCAACCAATGATTGACTTTGATCCCACTGAGTCTAACACCAGCTTTTTTTTATCAAAAAGGGTTGCAACAGTAAAGACACAAGGATACTTGAGTGACGGGGGGGATCCCCTACGCATGGTAAATAGCATTAAACCTTAGCATTCCATTAGACCGCCATAACAACAGACCCCTCCCACAGCACTAATCTACAATAACACGGAAACACTGTTAAGAATGTTGAGAGCCTTATCATGTGAGCAATGATGCAGTTCTTAGGCACTTCAAGCCAGGAACAAAAATGTCAATCCACAGCAAACACCTCACATCAAGACAGCCACAAACACCAACTGCATCAGTCTGTTGTTTTACAATGCTTGTTAGTGTGGTGAAGTCAAGATTCACAAAAATCATCTCATCTCCTTCTCATGGCCTTGTTTCTCATATTGAGATCAGTCAACCTTCACTTCATTGTATGAAGGGAGTATTACTGAGCTCAGAGATTCTGCAAAGCCATATATTGTATATAAAGCAAACAACGGCTGCTCTCTGAACAATCTTTCAAATATTCAGCCCTCTGATTAACATGATGTATTCCTTACTGGGAGAAGCTGTCTCTCAGAAACATGATGGAGAAGAATCTCAGCATCTGACTGAGATTTGCATGTGGAACAGTGTGTGTTTTGAGCAGATCACATGACAATTATTCAAAACAATACATGCTGCTAAATTACTAATTGAGATTTTTTCATTAATACGTGGAAACAGAAAACATGTGCATTTTAGATTGATGAACACTAGTTCAGGATTCATTTGTAGTTTAACCACTCAACCACTAGATTTTGTGTATGCATGGTACTTAAATTTACACACGTTTCTATGCACGAGTACAAGATGCTAATGATGTCACCTATCATGAAAACAGATAGTTATGCTTAAAGAACATAACATTAAATAATTGCTTTTACACGTTAACCAAACTTTGAGTTAATCCCCAAATTAAAGATCTACACTTAAAGTACTTGTTTGAAAAGGCAACTTACAACTCATCTCTTTGCCGTTGTGACAGCACCATGGCTATGCTGAGGTGTGGGGTGGGGCTAGGAGAGGTCAGTCAATTGAAGGTGAATCTTGTGCAGCTGCTACGCTCTCCTCTGTCAGGAGATGAGCCGTGCTGATCCAGGCTACACAGATGAGAATAAGCTATGTACTCCAATAGTGGGTCCTTTGGTTTTATCCAGACAAAGAGTGAGACTGAGAGAAGGGGGAGGCAGGAATCTGCTCCCCAACAGGCCAATTCTTGGAACAAGCAAAGTGGCGGTTGCAGAAGAGTCACCAGCTGAGTCTACACACACTGCATCTGAAAACGAAAAAAGAAAGTCAGATTAGATGTGGACAATAAGTACAATGGCTGGATAGGAATGCTTGGCCTGAGATGCATCCTTTGAACATTATTAGTAGCAGATGCTGAAGAAATAAATAAAATCAATTATAAAAATTGTCAATTTTCATAACCGAAATATACAACATGAGACAGAAGTTTTATTTTTAGAAAACAACCCCCACTGTGCAACTTCAACATGACACAAAGGAAACAGCAGACAGCATCTATCATAGGTTTGATATAAACCACGTTGTTTCCATGGGGTCCTGTCTCATTTGCTTTTAACTCCACTCCTGCTATCTACATTAAGAGTCTGTCACTGTCAGTCATAAAACCAACCCACACTAAGGAGTCTGGTCTGCAGCAAATTTGCCTCTGCGTACACACACAGGTGGTGACCCACATTCTCTGAACAACTTTGTCATCCCAGGTTGCAAAATGACAACACAAGACAGAACACTTCTGGGGCCACATCTCTTAGACAAAAAGTATTCAGTTTAGTTAAAACACAAACTAACTATTAAGACTTTGAACAACACATGTACAGCCTAGTTTAAGTTCATATTGCAAAGTAAAAGGAATCTACCAAAAAAAACCTAGATATTTTATGATAATGGCTCTCTGGCCCACTGCAACCAATTTTTTTTTATGAGGCTTGATCTCTGTCGTAGAGGAGACAAAGGTAATTAGAAAACCAATGTAGAAACATTAAAGACACTGACATGTCTCTACAGACAATACATTTAAGAAACATTTCACAATCTTCTCTTCAGCTGACCTGATTTTAGAACCATCATAAACAACAACCACAAAAATAACAACAATAACAGTATAAGGGTAATATACATAAAAATAACAAAAGGAGAAATTGTACTGTATATTTTCCTTTTAAGTTGATCCTATTTTTTTATTTTACTTTAATTGTGGTGATCCTGGAGTTATACCAATGTTAAGGAGAATTAATGAAACAATGTTTTGATTCAGGAAAATTATAATTGAATCACTTTCAAAATCGATTTAAGTTGATTAATGGATTAGTCCTTTCAGATCTATGTCATAACAATACAAAAACAAAATGAGATTTTTAACAAGTTAAAAACATTAAAACCACTTAAATCCCTGCCAATAAAAGGAGAATCTAGAGCTACTGTATTCCCACTCACAGAAGTGTAAAGAAAATTAGGTCATCTACTATTTACTGAAACTTTACTGCGTACTGTTGGCAGCTGTCACCACTTTGTATAATCACATTAGACTGTTCTCACATTTGTCATTTCAGTGTTGAAGAAAATGTTTTCACAGCTCACACAAAACACAATGCCTCAGCAGAAACTTTGTTGGTGTTAGTAAATATGAATATGAATATATTCTGCAGCCTCTAATAATTTGCATGTTCCTGTCTCATAACAAAAGTTTTTTTTCTCTTCAACATATGCGTCAGGATACTGGCATTTGCTAAAGGAGAGACTGGTTAGCCGTACAGTTCACTATGCAAAAAACAAACATCATGTCAACACTGTGTTGAACCACATCAATGTGACATTGTATGTTTTAAAACACACCTCATGTGGTAATCAACAAATGACATAAAGAGTGCATCACAGGTTTAAAAAAAAACTTAAGAAGAAAAAAGAAGAAAAAAAACAACAAACAAACTACACTAAAGAAATACCTACCCAGTAACTCTTCACAAAATATACCACACTATCACTGTGAAAATGTTACATGTAACATTTTTGTCATCTCTGGTCCATTGTAGATTTTCTTTTTCTCTAAAGGTAGTTCCTTTTTCTTAATCAAAACCCAGCTGACAGCTGGAATCTGGAGTGCCTTCATTTTCTTTTGGTGACTTCACCTTAATATTATGTGTGCACTCTAAAAGGTGCATTGTTAGCATATTTGAAATTATAGTGAAAATTACATTATAGAAATCGTTTCTAATGCATGATTTCTGAAGTGAAACTGGACAAGTCATTTGCCAAGCCAATCATTTTCAACAAATCACAAATGTCAACTGTATTTATTTTTATGTGTTCTAGACAGGCCACTACCCTTTGGTATTACCGACACTGTATATTACAAAACTCCTCTATGCCTTGTTTTAAAAAAATAAATATCTGTGTAAACATTCTATAAGATCCTTTCAAAAATAAAAAAAACAACATGCATATAACTAACTTTCATATAGAGACCATAGTTAAACTGATCAACAAACCTCAATACTTGATACGAGTTGTACAGTACCAAGTCCTAACTGGCAGCCGTGATGCTAGTTAAAATCAACATGCTTGCACCTCCCCAGGGCAATATCTAGTTCAAAACAACAAGGGGCTAATTAAATCTAAATAAACTAAATGTGAATTTGTTGTCACTAACAAAACTGTTTGACCATTGTCTGAATAAAACCTCTGAAAAATGTGTATCCATAGACAAAAAAAATCAGCAGCAGACAACCAACACTGTTAACTGACATGTTTTTGCAGACAAAACTTTAAAAAAGGAGAGAAAGAAGCAAAACAGATAAGGGCTAGTGCAGAGTTTTGCAGTAAACAGTCTTTGACTCTAATGTGCTCCACCTTAATTTTCGCGTGCAAAAAAATGCATGAAGCATAACAGCTAAGCATCCTCTGGAGTGACAGCTGAGGAGCAACAGAATGAAAATATTTTGAGAAGTCATGTTGAAATGTCTGCATTCTACATTATTTTCAGTAATATAACACTAACCTAACATTATTTTGTTAAAATTATCTGCATTATTATTTACTGCATTATTATCAGTCAACAAAAAAAATTGTGGTTGGGTCATCCTAAATGACCAAAACGTGACTGCATCCATAATCCCAACAAGCAAGTTCAAGATGAGGCTCTACACAACATCTCATTGTCTCATCACATACTGTACATATCCAGACAGACAGTCAAGACAAGCTGCCAGATTTCACACATACAGTACAGATATTAAAGTGCAACAGGCTTTGATACAAATGGCAGGCGGACTATGTTTCAGAAACAGCTGGTCGTCATTTAAAGTATCTGTATCACCAATAATATTACCAGAGGATTGTCCAAAAGGAGAATGTATTAAGCAAGGGGAAGTTTTCTGGAAAATCCTTAAAAAATACCATTTGCTAAAACCAAAGTATGCAAAAGTCAGTCAGACAAGCCTTTTTTTTCATGTGCAACTCTGACAGATCATTAAATAAAACATAAAGCATTACCATTATCTGGTGTACACTTAACACAGAAATCAAATCATTTAAATGACCTCAACCTAAAGTGAAAATGAAACCAGAGAAAAGGTAATTCCCCAAGACACCTTAAAAGAGCAACCAAAAATGCATGGTGGGATGTTTGGTATTTGGTAGGAAGGCTGCCCTCTGCCTATATTTCTTTTTCACTATGGAGCTCAAACAAGACCTGCTATTGTTTAAACTCAAAGAAGAAGAGGTCAAAGTTGAAAGGAGAGGGGAGGTCCAATTCAGACATCAACACTTACTACTGTGAGGCAAAAAACCTTTAAGTGACCTGGTGTGGTCAAGGGATACACTTACAATAATGACATTATGTGAATTATTTTATATGTATATGTAACCCAAAAAGAAACCAATGCAAAAGCAAAGAGTAAGACCTACATCGTTTTCTATAGTCAAAACAGGGAGCAGCAATGTTTGCTTTGAATTCAGAGTGTTCAGAGAAGAAATTCAGTTTTAAAGGTTACTTGCAATACAACTCCTCCCACCTCCGACTTGAAGCGTGTAAGAGTGCCTGCGTAATGCTATCAAGCCAATATGCACCAAAATGCTTTAGTAATCCTACCATGGTGCTGGTTTATTATCTATAAAATATGGGAGTTTTCAAGTCAAAGCTTGTCGAACCTGGTGGTATTACGATGTATGTAATGAAGTGGCATGACGTTATGGTACGTCAACATCAGACTGTGTCTAATGAGCTACCATAACGTCATGCATTAGATTCTGGTTTATATTAAACATTTTGTGAGTGTCCAAATATAAAGATTAAAGAAATAAAATTGTTTCGTAGACATATGAAAACCATGTCGTTTTTCATTTTAAACTAGTTTGACAGACGCCGTACCTGGTTCCCACAATGATAATTACCAGTTATTATAAACTTGGGATAGAAGCCAATTATAACAGTTTAGCACAGTAGGGTTAACACCAAACATGTCTACACGCTTTTAAGACGCTGCTTAAGACTGTAACGGCTGACTGACAGCCGGTATCATAACATTATCATTAGCATAACTTAAGATTAGCCAAGTTAGCAGTAGTCAGAAAGTTAACTCCGTCAAAGGCACAGAAGACATATTCAATATTCACCAAACAACAGCCAAACCGACCCAGTGTCTCAATCAATCTCATCCAACTGCATCTAAGTTAATGAAATAGTTCGGTGTGAGCCTCATCTGACACGGTACCTGCTGCTCTGGTCCAAGCGGCCTATCCGCCATTTTGAGACAGAAAAGGAGGCGCAAACGTTTACAGCCACATCGTCATTTTCCCACCTAACGGCCGAATCTTTCGCCCACTGAACGGCTTCGTGACTGATAGCTGTCAGCACTTACCCTAAGGTTTTCTGCCGATGAAAATCCTTCGCCGTTTCCGACAGTGACACGACCCCAACAGGGCGTGAAATCTTCGCTGTAAAACACGGTCTTGTGATGTGAAGGTGAGCCGCCTCCCGTCTCCTCTGCCCGCTGCTTGTTTTCTGGTCGCCTGCCGCATTCGCCTTCAGCCGGGGGCGCGCATAGAACGCGCGTTCAAGACAGTGTCGTGGGCGCGCACGCCGTTCCTCCAAAAAAAAATCTATATAACTGTCTCATAGTGTGGACTGCCTCCCCCTAGTGGGCATTTAAGCTCATGCACGTGTGACCCAATTTGGGAATTCAACACTAATTTATCAACATTTATTTTAATAAGTCAATACATTTAAATATTTGAAACATCCAATAGGTTAAGTTTTTAACATTTGAACAAGTACAGAACATTACGATTTACGTTAAAAAGAAAACAAGGTTATCTGTGTGTTTTCCTTCCTATTTTTGAAGGCATTATCCAGTAATGGATATCTGTAGTTGATTTATCATATCAACATCAAATCTGCTGAGCTTCTGGCATGGTTGGTGAAGTCAGTGTGGTTGTTGAGGTCAGTGCTGTAAGTGCGTTAACACACGTTGTGGTTTGTGCTCATGGCAAGGTGCGGTAGTTGCAGTCAGTGCCTCACTGCGGACCTTTAATCAAGTTTGCAAGAAATTACATTGAAAAGTATACAGTTGCAGTATGGGCTGGCGTTGGTGTTTATTATTATTTTTTTGCAAAAAAAAAAAAAATCTTGTTAGAGTCCAGTCTAGACACCTTTTAAGTGAAACTTTTATGGCTACAAAAAAAATGCCCCTGCCGTTTACAAAGACCTGGATATGCATTTTATAATTTTTGATTACATTTTTACCTACATTTTATTAATTTAGTATAAAAACATCAGAATAACGTCAACACAAAAGTCTTTCCTCCCTCACACACACTAAAACTGCCAAGAGTCATTATGTTTGGGTGTAATTTAAACATCTCACATAATGATCAGTCCTTTTATTCTTAATTTATAAACCACCAAATCATTAGTAAACAACACAGAATGTTTTAACAGGAACATAGCTTTGTAGGTATTAAAGCGAATGTTTGTTTTTTTGTATTGGAATTAAATCCTAGTTTTTGTAAGCTCAGTTATTTTCTCTCTCCCGTTTAGGCCACTTTGTCCCTTAATAATCGGTGAAAGTGCGCCACCCTACGGACACTGTTGGTAATATTCGATAAGTATTCAAGTAATTCAAGAAGCTCATTTTAACATTAGTATGTTTACAGTTTCTAAAGCATTTTTTGTATTGTTTTACTATCTGGTACCACAACTGAATCCGAAACACATCGTCCCACTGCTGCAAGCTGTGGAATCACTACACTGTCATAATCTTGTCTTTATAAATTCTTCATACAGCTCCATTAGAAATGTACGCTTGGTTGATGATGTGCCAGGTTACAGAAACGTGATAATCACTTCCAGCACCGTCTCTCTATTGCTTTAATTACATCAACATTTAGACACGGCAACATTTTAGTAACAATCTGCCATGAGGGGGAAACATTGCATGTGTACAAGCGTAAAACAAACGTTTGTCTTCTTTTGGTACATCACTGTGAGGAGGCAGCCCTTCTTATGTCTACTGTTAGTGGTGCGGGGAAGACCATAGCACGCGCGCACACACGCACACAAACAGCTCAAGAAAGTGCAATCAACACTGCTCACCGAACAGACACTCCAGACTGATGATTTTTTTCTCTATATATATCTCGGTTACATAAGAAAAGATGACAAAGATAGAACAAACGAAAACACACCAGTGATAAGAAACTCGTTCACTCTGCTGACGTTGAGTCCAACTGTAAAGTTCTTCAGTACCGCGCGATACGAAAAGAGACGCCAGTGGCCCGGGGACGTTTGTCTGTAAGAAGCGTCAGTCGTCCGACAGGTGTGTAGAAAAATAAAACATCTGGAAAAGCCCATGATTATTCGGCGTCTTCTTCAAACCAGCTATGCAGCAGCAAAAGCAACGACAGCTCTGACCAATGAATTCCATCGTACACACACACACACACAACCCACAGTCACACGTACAAACACATATGCACGTACTTTCCTTTTCCATGTGTAAAAATAGAAAGTTGGACACAGCTACTAGAGTATATAGTATTTTTGGACTGCATAAAGTGGACGTTTCACTTTTTTCTTTCCTTGTGTATGATGACGGAGTAGTCGTCTAAATCCGTGTGACAGATTTCTACATCTTTTCTTCCTCTTGTATACATTTCTATTGAACAGGCATGGCTTACATGAACAGATGACTTACCTAAAACACCTTTCTGTGCATCGTTACAAAACATAAACCAAATTCATTTACTTTAATAAAAAAAAGAAACATCCTGAAAATAATCAACTAGACTAACATGTCTCTGTGTTGTATGTTGGCCTGCTTTAGAGATTAAGGTACCATGAGGGTCACAGCAGAGACTGCCACCCAGGAGATGAATATATTTATAGAGAGGTTGATGAAGGATGAGGATTTGGTGTAAAGAATGAAGATTTACATTCTTAGGCCACATTTGAGAAAAGTACTGGCTGCATTCTGGTCTTAGTGCAGAGTATAGAAGTTCCCCTGAGTTCTAGGTCGGGGTAGGTGCTTTATCATCAAGGGCACAGGAGGGTGGCAGGGGTAAATAAAGCCCAGGGTCTGTGAAGGCTTTTTTGGGAGGTGGGGGTGAGGGGTGGGACGAGGCCCTGGGCTCTTAGTGCTGTGGTAAATGAGTCAAATGAGTGGATAAGGCTCTGGTGTGTAATGACATGGTCCTTCTCAGTCTCCCTGCTGCAAAACCTCTCAATCATACAGGATTTTTTTTTGTTTAAGAGCAAAAACACGGTGAGTAATTTCATCTCCAAGTTCCTGGGCCAAGGATTTTTTTTCTTTGTTTTCTAGATTGCACATCAACCATGATTTTTTATTGTTTGAACGTTTCTCCACACTCACTTCCTACTTTGTAGGAAACTCATGTTCTGTATTCATCTGTCCTACAGTTCATATAGGATGTTCCCAGCACTCCCCCTCAACCTTCCCCGTTTGTGTCAAAGTTGAATTGATCTGCTCAGTTCCCAGGTTCACTGGCTCAGTGATGGTGGCTGTGTGGCCAGAGCCTCCTGAACCCCCTCCCCTCCCACAATAGTAGAAAGCAGCTATGCATGGAGGGCTGTTGTATGTTAATCAACAGGGATTTTGTCCTCCAGTTCTAGTGGCCTCTCCTCCGTGGACTCCTTGCTCTTTCCAAGCTCCTGCAGCTGCTGCCGCCTCTGGACCTCTGACTTCAAGTTCTCCAGATCTTTTTGGCTGTGTACAAAAAAAACAAAAAACAAAACTTCAACATCAAACACATGCACATACACGTACATGCATATATATTTGCACACACGCATACAAATATATGCATATATACAAAGGCATACACACACAAACATATGTATTTGCTGTATATTTGCACACACACACAAACATGCATATATATTTAAGCACACATATATAAACATATGCCTATATTTTGCACACATACAGTATATGCATGTATATTTACACAAACATGTATATTAAAGCATACACATGTACAAACATATGCATATATTAACAAATACACAAAAACAAAAATGCAAATATACTTATTACTTTAATTGCACATATTTATATACTTATTATATACACTACTAAACAGTATATATACTTACATATATACTATATATTTCTATGTAATATAGGTACAGGGCGCTGTATCAAGAGTAAAGTTATGGGGCGGTTAACTTTTGTACGCAAATTATAAACCTTTAAAATTACATTACAGACATTTTGCTTAGCCAAGGGATTTCATTTGGCTTTTTACCTGAGTGGTATGAAGATGATGCCGTTGATAATATTGAGCTGTTCCAGGACACTGGCCATGCTGGGGGCAGTGAACTGCAGAGGAATTAAAAAAAACAACAACAACGTCAGTGTAAGATGTTTGCTAACAACAACAACAATGTCAGTGTAAGATGTTTGTTGCAGGCAGTTCAGATGTTAGCAATAATACGAGACTAAGCGGAGTCACCTTGACGGGCATGATGCTAGCGTTGGAGCCATTCTTGTAGATCTCATTCATGGTTCTCTGCAGGGCCACGGCCTGCTGGGTGAGATACTTCAGGTATTCTGAGCTCTCCTTGGTTTTCTCGTGGGTCTCCCCCATCTGAGAGGGAAGGAAGTGATGAGTTCAATGCTTTATTTCATCACACAGTCAGACAACGGTGGACTCAGCAGGATGTCCTCCTGCAGACATTACCTGATTCTTGTAGATGGTGTAACCCTCCTTTTCGTGCTGCAGCGCTGAGCGGAACTCCGCCTTACTCTCATAAACCTTAGCAACTAAATGATGGCTGAAAGAAATGAATAGAACCAGCAATATTAACCACCTTGTATGTCAACATTTTTGCTACATGAATATTAAAATTAACTCTTTACCAAAGTAATTCATTTTTGAAATGGATCACAATGGATTTTTTGACACATTCTTTTCTAAATGAAAAGGTTATTTTTATATTATTATTATATTTCATTCAAATTCTGACCTGAGGGCCACTTTGAGGGACCTGGCTCCATGGTACTTTGTGTTAATGGTCAAGGCGTTCTCCAAGAACCTCAGGGATAAGTCGTACTCCATCACTCCATGCAGCACCAGGCCGATGTTACTCTGTAGAAAGAGAGACGTAAACATTAAGCATTAAAACTAATAGGAGATAATCACTATGTTTTTTATATTTTGTTAAATAAAATAAATAAAATAAAAAGAAGCCATACGTCCAACAGCGCCATCTCTGGATGGTCCTCCCCGGTGACCAGCAGCATGAGGTAACGGGCTCGGTACAGCAGCCTCAAGGCGGTGGACAGCTGGCCGTTAGCAAAGCAGTAAAGAGCCAAGTGCATCTAAAGAGTGAAGAGCTTCATTAGAGGGCGCTATAACACATTATTAAAGAGCCCTGTATATGAAGCAAAGATCCAGCAGAGGGCATGACGACGTACATATTCCTGAATAGTGTTGGGATGTTCGATGCCGAGGACTCGTTCGCTCATGAGCACAGCCTTCTGCTGGTTACTCAGGGCCTGTGGACACGAGCAGGTATTTTTAGTAAAAAAATAAACAAACAAACTCATCAAACAGCTACAGAGAGGATCAGTAGAACTGCACTAACCTCAGGATGATCTCCCATGATGTAGTTAAGGCGGGCCAGCAGGCGGAGGCAGGCGCAGATCTCCACGTGCATTGGTCCGTACACATTGTTGAAGAGGTTGAGAGCCTCGTTGATCAGCTCGCAGCCTTCCTTCAGGAAACCTGGAAAACACAGCATTCATTGGATTGATATAGTGATGTGTGTGATGTCAATGGAAGACTGATTATTGGTTAGTTAATTACAGAAACAACGTATAAGAAGAGTCAACTAATATATTTAAAATGAATGTTTTGTTACTAACTCATACAATGAAGAATTAAGACAGCATTACAGCAACAAAAGTTAATTCTGGTAGTCAGCCGCTCCGAGTCTAAATGCCAAGAATTATCCAGGTTAAAAACTCACCCTGCTGTACTTTAGCTTGTCCGCTCTGGAAGAAGTGGAAGGCGTCGGAAGCTTTGGGATTGACGTACTTCACCACAGGGAAAATGTTCAGGATGTCTTCCTCTGTGAAGGCAGGCTTGTGACGGCTGTCAAAGTTATACTCCTTTATGAGGATCTACAGGGACAGAGAAGAGGAATTCTAAACATGAAAACTGTTGTTCATTTGGTGAAGTGGTGACAGTGGTGGTGCCATCAGAACTGTGAACACATATTACCTGGATTCCAGTTTTGATAGAGATTTCTCTGAGCAGAGTGGTTTTCTGGAGCCCGTATTTTTCCACCACCTGGTCCACGCTTTCACTGAAAAAACAAAAAAAAGAAACAAACAAAAAAATTTAAAACAAAAAATGTTAACCTTGAGATTTCACACACACAATTGTAACAATGATCTACAGGTTAAGACGGTCTCCTCACCACTGTATGGTAAAGTGGTAATAGCTCTGTGCCTCGGTGGCAATGTTCTTCCACAGCTCGCTGGGCGTCAGGCTGGCCCACGCCGTGTTGTCCCCGCCGCCTGGGACCCTGTTGCGTCTTTTGCGATTTTTGCGTCGGGACACAAGCTCATCAGGAGGCAAGTGAGCGACGGCGTCAGCGAAGGAGCTCAGGAAACAGTTGAGGAAATGACTGACGGCCGCAGAGAGAGCAGACAGCTCCACTCCCTGGATAAAGAGGAAAATGAATATTTCAGACTTGTCTCCCCAAGACTGACATATGAATTACTTTGATTGAACTTTGCTAACCTGAAGGTAAGTCTTGAAGATATGTTTTGCACATCTGGTGATCAGCTCCATGATTCCTATCCTCTGTAAAAAGAAAAAAAGATAAAGGACTCAGCAAAACTATCCAGTTTTGCTGGATATTTATCCGTCAGATTTTGTGAGTCAGTCTCACATAGATGTGCTCCAGCTGGGCTTTGGCAGAGGTCTTGTCCAGAAACTCCAGGACAGTGCCCAAATAACGAATGTTGATGCCTCTCTGGTGCAGAGTCTCTGCGAACGTGGCTCCATCCATTGGCAGAGCACTATGGTCCAAACAGTCTTTCACCTGCATCAACCCCAAAAACACCGACACACTGAGAACCATGACACACACACACACGTATGAAGTAGGTCTGAGGAGAGAGGGAGACTGACCAGTGAAGGGATCTGACAGGACAGCAGGAAGGAAGCAGCGTCCTTCAGCAGCTGTTTCTGCTTCTGAACATCATCTGTCGTCTCCTCGGGGAAACGCACACCTGTTTGAAGACACAATGCATGTTTTCATCTTTAATTCTGGTTTTAATCACATGACATTTAATAATCATTATTATGTTAAATAAATGAATGTGAAGCTCGTCGTGATGCTCACCTGGGGAGAAGATGTCTGGGTTGAAGCGAATGTCAAAGGACGTGTTGCTGATGGAGCCCACCGCCTGACAGGCATTGAGGACCACCTCACAACTTTTGGAATCTGTTTGTGTTTAGGAAATAGTCACAAATATTAAGTCACGGAAACGTAAACACACACACATGTATACACACACACGCACGCATGCATGTCAAAAGCCAAGATTGAGCAAAATTAAATCAGTTCAACTGTTGATCAGCTCAGTTGTTTAACTCCCATCCCCCTGTGTAATGTGTGACAAACCATATGAATACTATGAATAACTGATCACACAGTACAGCAGCGTTCATTTCAACTAAGACCAATTAAACGGCCTTTTCTGAAATGATGACAAGAATGAAGATTCAACACAAAGTAATGTAGGATGAAATGACGATGGCAAACAAAAACAACAAAAACAAAATCCCACAGATCAGGTCAGTGTGATTTAGAATCAGTAGCACAGCACACAGCACCACTCTTCGAATCACTTCAGGATTAGTAGACACAGCACATGATTGTGAAATGATTTTCTCTTGTCACAGAGTGACAGAGAGCAGGTTTGATTGTGGTTGTTGATAACAGACACTCCTCTCACTGCAGGCTGGAGGACTGAGCAGGGACAGGTAGTCAGGTGGAGAGAAGCACCTACAGCAGGTCTAAATCCACAGACACTAAAACTACTGTCATTATGGCTTTTTTAAAATTCTATAGCACATGTCTGTTATCTATGCAGTGATCCACCACGGTAGCTCTCCCTGCATGGTCCCAGCTCTGCTGTTATTTTTATTTTTATTTTCTTGAACGTACCAATACCAGATCCAACTTCAGCTACTAAGGTCTCCGCCAGCTCTTTGGCCTGAGCTAATCCTGGAATACTTTCCTCAAGGTCCTTACCCTCCAGTGGGCTCTTGCACTTGCCGTTGTGTGTGGCGGTCGGTTCGAGGGGCCCGTTGGTGACGGGTTTAGATGAGTTTTCTTCACTTGCGGTGCTGTTCTCTGTCTGGCCTGTGGACGCGTCTGGAGTGTGTGAGGATTCTTCTGTAGTCGTCTGCGTGTGGTTTGGTTCAGCTTTGTCTTCTGTGGACACGTCCATGATGGCGGGTGTGTCAGTCTTAGTGTCTTTGTTTGCTTTCTGCTGCATGAGCTGTAAGGCTGCCATCTTCATGAACAGCAGATATCTGAAAGAGGACAAGAACAGATGCTTGGAACTGTAGGACAGACTGAACACTGTGTGAGAGACGGTTGTAAATGAGTGGGTGCTAACAAACCTGTGCTCAACAAAGGCCTCGATGAGCTCTTGGCGGAGACAGGCCAGGCGGTGGCGGTGCTGGCGGGGGAAGCCAAGGTGTTTACTCTCTGGGGGCAGCTCTTCGCCATCCACAGGCAGGAAATTGAGGTCCGGGGGAAAAGTACGCAGAAGGTCCAGGATGTAGTGACGACCGTCATTCCCGATGATACCTTTGCACTCCACAGACGAACACAGTTCCACCGACTCGTTCTTCTCATTCAGTACATTGTGTTTCTGCACCTGAAGTTTACACCAAAACTAATTGACTCACTCTGACATTAGCAGTACCTCCCACAGAATCTACAGCAGAATAAACATCCACAAGTCATACATCACACCGACCTTCAGTGGCCTGCTGGTCTTCTCCAGCAGCTCCAGATATTTGTTGTGCGACACAACAGTCTTTCCAAAGTCGATGGAGCCGTAGATGACGCTCTGCTCCTGCTCACGTTCCAGAATCCCTGGGATGATGGACTGTGCGGTGACACGGTAGCCCCTGTAGTCCACCACTACCGTCCCCAGGGTGTAAAGACCCTCGACGTCCACGGCGCCGTAGGCTCGAACGCCGTTCAAGTCATTGGTCGGTGCGGCGTGGGCCGCGGCGTCTCCGCCCAGCTCACGATAGTGATCCCGCACGTCGAAGCCCAGGCTGAAGAAGATGTTGTTCCAGATGAACATCTGCATGCGTGTTTCCTCTCCAGGGTTGATGGCCATGACGTTGCCATCAATTACAGCCATGGCTCCACGCGTGGCCGCGGCTGTGAAGTCACTGTGGACCTTCAGGAAGAATAACAACCATGAGGTCACGGAAAAGAACATGCAGCTACAGCTACACACAGTGGACAAATGTGGTATTACATTTATAAGTGTATAACCACACAGACACTAAGAACAGCAACGGCTTCATAATTTTTGCAGAACACATTACAGCTAGGTGTATTGCGCCACCTACAGGGCTCTCAGAATTTCCTAAATATACCTTGAATATGGCTCGCTCCCTCAGCAGTCGCTCAGGCAGGTTCTTCCTGGACAGTTCTCTGGTTGTCTGTAGCTCTTCATTCCAATCTCGTGTCTGTTGGCATTTAGAAGAAATTTATTTTTACTTCTATATAAATATGGTGAAGCACTGGGGGGCGCTATTTGCATAGTGCATATACTGTATATGTATCTGATAGTTGGCATTGCTGTGTACAGCTGCACCGACCTGTCCTGGTATATGTTCCTCGTAACCCAGGCGAGAGGTGTAGGCATCTTCAGCGCGAACACAGTCCATGGCGTGGTCTATCTGTGGAGCGGTCCAACTGTAGACCTGGAAAGGTGTAGCTATCCTCTCGAAGGGGTGACGCTGGACCCTGCAGCAGAGAAATTAGATGGTAGAAACAAACATGTTATATTACTTTTCATGTCTAATTCTCTATATACTACTAACATTTAGCATCTGTTAACTTTTTAAGCAGTAGCTAAAAGCTGTAGTTTTTCGGACACACATCTTTACACCCAGATTTAGATCAGTGATGGTGACAGAGATTTTTACCTTTTCTTCTGCAGGGCAGTGAAGTTCTTCTTGAAGGCAGGGCTAATCTGGCTTAGCAGCTCCACCAAAGAATGGCTCAGGAAGCTGGGATTGGCTGGCTTGGGGTTAAAGGTGTAGGTAGTAGATCTGAAAAATCAATGTAATGTTATCATCCGCTCGTGGACTGATCAGACGTCTGCTAACTGGAAAAAAACAGGAAATAAAGAACATCAACATGCAAACATTACATAAAATCTCACAGTGAGCTGCATGTGACCCAGGAGCCACAGGTTGCAGATCCCTGGTATACATGTTACTGATTTCTACAGTATCAACAGTCAGTTAATGGGTGATTAGCGTGAAATGTTGACTGACTGGTTGAGGTAGAAGCCGCGTGTAGAGGCAGTGATGCTGACATGGCGTTCCTCCACAGTCACAATGTACAGGTACATGAGGTCACCGTGCATCTTCCTGTTTCCAGGTGGAGGGTTCCAGCCGCTCATGGTCAGCACCTTCAGGCACTGCATGGGCTGTGGACGACATATGGACCATAAGTTTGATTTCTGGAATTTTACTACAGTACATTTCACAGTACAGCTGTGAAAGTACTCCTGGATGACAATCAGTTTCATCACTGGACAGGATTTTAACATACTGTAAAATTCAACTGAATTCAGACTGTTTCTCACCTTCCAATCCTTGTTCAGGGGCTGGAGGGGCACCAGGGGGCGATCTTTGCTGCCAGGGAGTATATGTTCTGGGGGTGTGCAGTCGATCTGCTCCAAATCGTTGCCCCTTTTCTTTCGTTTGCCACTATCTGGGACCACAAAAGAAAATGAATATGATTCTTGCTACTTCTGCTTTAAACAAACCGCCAGGAGTATGAATTTCTTTATCTGTGTACTCGCTGGATGGGTTTTAATAAATATACAGTGAATTGAAACTAAATAAATTACTCATGAGGACAATGAGACAATGCACAGCAGTAAGAACGCTGACTGAGACTTTTATTAAAGTATCAGGCCTGATGCTGATACTGGTGAAGATATCAGTGCCTCCTAACTGCTGAAGAGCTCTAGCTTTGAAAAAAAAAAAAAAAAAATCCTCTCATTTTCACCAGACTAAGGGGAAACAGAGCTTTGGCCTCTTGTACCTCCAAGGTCTCCATCAGTGAAGATGCTGAGGAAGGAGAGAGAGTTGCAGTCCACTCCATTGTAGGCGTCTGATGGATCCAGACTCTTCAGCAGGTCTCTGATGTGGCGAACGTGGATGCGAGCTTCACGCACAGTGTAAGGCTCTGCAGCAATGACATGCAAAAAATATGATTTTAGAAAAAAAAAATTAAGAAAATAATTGTATTCACGTTTTTGTATTTGAATTATTTATTGAAGGCTAAAGCTGACGGTCCTCTCCTAAAGACAAATATAATTTGTAGTGTAGGGAGGGAGAGAGAGAGAAAGAGAGGTAGAGTGATTTGCAGCTGGTTGACTGAATAGAAATTCAGTTACATGACCTGATATGACACCTGCACACACTTCACAACTTGTGCATTATTTATACTTGGCTCAACAGTGACAGCACAGACGGAGAGAAGCTGACCTTCCACTACTTTCAGCAGGGAACCCTCCTGCAGACCCTCGATGGACTTGAGCTCGGAGAAGTTGTCCAGCACATTTCCATCCAGCTGCAGTGAGAAGCAGGTGCGGTGGCAGGTGTCCTCGCGGTCTATCAGCACCTGGTGGATTTCCTGTACCATCTCTTGGGGGGACACCTGGTGGAGGAGGAGGGAAGCAAAGAATGAGAACACATGAAGGAGTAGCCAAGGATAATAATAATAATCTAATTTGGTCCAAAGGTTCCATCAGTACCTGCAGATCAAAGGGTTCTGTTCCCGGGGCCTGGATCTTCACAGTGAAGCCTGTGTCCTGGATGACGATAACCTCCTGTTCGTTTGAATCCTCTTCTCTCTCCGCCTCACTGCTCCCAACGTGCTTTGATTCCGCCTCATCTGTGTGCTCATGACAACTGTCCCCGTTAACCATAGCTGTTTCTGCACCGTGTCCTGTAGGGGGCAGAGACGCACAGTTGTCAGTCAAGACTGAACATATCAACAAATCAGTTTTCTATTCCATGAACTCGGAGCCACCACCTGGCAGCCCGCGGTCACAAACACACAGATGGGCATCATCATCAACAATAATCTGATAAACTATTTGTGGATGAGGTAACATTACTGCCACAACAGTTGGTAGAGAGGCACTGCATATTTAAATACAGACCCGCACAAAAAATTACATTTTAAAAAATATATACGTCCTAAAATAATCTCATCTCCAAAACAAAGCTGGGCTCAGTCTACAGAACACAACGGTTGCAGCATTTACAGGAATGTGCGACTGGTCACATGCTGGCAACACATTTGGTTCTTCTCACTGATACAACACCAAGACATGAGAACGCAGAGCTCTGCATCTAGAGTAAGGACATTTTTCTCCCAGAGCTCACAGTTTCTCTAAGGACTGTGTAGAGTATGAGGTGAATAAAAATGAGGCTCTTGAACTGTTTCCTCTCAGCAGTTGGGACACAACTGCTGGGTGTGGGTGTGGGAGTGAGCGTGAGCGTGCGTGTGTGTGTGTGTGTCCTTGCTGACTTATCAGGGGTAAAACACAGCCAGGGTTACTGAAGAGAAGGGCCCAGAGGGAGAGAAAAGTGGGAGGGGGAGGAGAGGGGAAGAGGGGCAAGGCTCCATAACTGGACTCCGACCCCTGCATGGGACTAAACATGCTAAAACAGTGGTGGAGCCGGGTCACAGGCTCGGGAGGCCACGCTCTAAATAACAAACACAACGGCTTCAGCGCAGACGCTCAGGTTTATGGTATCAGGAGCCAAACGAGGATAAAAGCTGGTGTCGAGTGTTTCAGTGCCAACGACGCCGACGTTATCAGGTGGATGAGGACGTGAAAGGATGGGGATGCCCACGCCCTCTGTGTAAACTGATCTGTGGGTATAAGAAAGAACATATTCCCCAGAGGTTCAGTTTGGGAACTGTTCTGCATTTTCTGCATTGGAAAATAAAGAAAACATCCATGATGTCATGGAAGGAAGCTGGTGTCTTTATTTCAAAGAAAACTCTAAAACCAAGGAATATATAATATTGAGCCTAGTCTGCATAAACCCCCACGTTGCCACTCACCTCATGTCAATGACAAACAGATGTCTCTGTCCCTGATTATATAAAATTTAATTTGGAATGTATTCAGGTTTTCCTTCCATTCCATTAAATTGTTTTTTGTTTGTCAGCAGTTTGGTGCTGCTCAGATCAGCAGTCTGACTGAAGACAAAGATTTGACCCACTTTTGAGATCAAGTGTTTTATTTGTTGTGTGTACTGAACAGTTTGTATTGTAGGTTTTCTTAAGAGTTGACTATATTATAGTTAGTCCTTGTTTACCAAAGATTAGCAGTTTCCTACAACTGTTTGCTCTACATAAGATACCTGTCTAACAGCAATGCACTGAAGTGCAAATTATCACAGTATACAGCAGTGGTTCGCAACATTTTTTCGCAGTGCTCACCCTCCACATCAACATATTCACAGGTGCCGATATTTAAAGAAAATTAATAAAATACTTATGATGGAAACAACAGCTGTGGCTGTTTATTCCACTGTTCTAGAACAAACATTTTTACAAGTTTATGTCTGAAAAGCAGAACCCACAGGTTTAGATTTTTATCAAAGGAAACAAACAAAAAGGAATCCTAAAATGATCAGTTTACAACATAAATGTTTCAGTTAATGTTGAGTTACATATTAATTACCTACTTCTTTCTACTCATCTATTCTCACAACTGATCCTGGTTAAACATAACACCAGCTCCATGTCTAAGAACTAGAACAGACCATAAAGTCATTTTAACAAAACCATTAGGAGACACCTGTCACAGCAAAGAAAGAAGGAAAAAAAAAGATTCAAACAATTTTCAAACTAATTAAACCGGTCTGTTGATCCACTCTGGGGCTCACATCAATGACTCACATTCAGACTGAGCATTACCTAAGAAAACCTCTTATCTTCGTCTTATTATCTCACAGTTTGTGACAGAAACTTATAAACCCAGCAGCTAGCCCTCTCCTCACTCAACAGCCCTTGACACTGGGACCCTGACTGCTGCCGTGGCAACACTAATCTCCAAGTCAGACAACCCGAAAAACACAAGTAACTACAAAACAACCTCCACTTTGCATCGCATAAATCAGCAAACTCCTGTTGGACAGAATTACATAGAGACAAAATATGAAGCAGCTTATTTACAAAAAACCCCAAAAGCTAACCAATAATCAAATCCTGATTATGTCTAGATACAAAGAAATTTAAGGAAAATAAAATGAAGATTTTACTCTTTATCTGCTCATTAAAGTAAACTAGAATTGTGAGTCCATGTGTTCAGCAAACATTGCAACTTTAAGTATAAAAGCTAGTGCACACTACTTTGCATGTTTCTGGGTTTGTAATGAGTCACATTTAATCACACATTTATTCTGTTAATCATTTGGGTGATTATAGAAGTAGTGGTCAGACATTTTGGGCAGGAAAATAAATCAAATATGTAGCAGTAAGTAAAGTAAAGTCAAATTTAGCTCAATCTTAAAGGGAACTCTCTAAATATACATTTTTTGTGTGTCACAAAATACAATTTTAACGATATACGAGATTTGAGACTTGTACCAACTGAGCTACATTTGCGCAGGGATATTCTGTTGCAGAATGCATGTTTTTTTTGACTAGCGGGTTTGACTAGTATCTGTTAACTCTTTCTTGTAGAAAATATTTGCAGTGGGATTATGGTGGAGTCGCATGAAACATACCAAATATACAAAAGCAGCTGGCTCACTAGACTGGCCATTAAAAGTGTGTGGACATGTCAGAGAAAGACAAGTTTTATCTTTGTAGATTGCTTTCTTTTCCCTTCAAATGAATTCATCTAAACATAACTTTGTTCTAATATGAGGCAGAGTTAACGTTTACTAAGCAATTTAGTTAAGATTGTGTGACAAACCTAACACAAACTCATTTAATGTTCAACGGTTGTTGTCTTCTGGGGGTAATGTCCATCTCTTGTTCTTTGCAGTTGTTAATACACCTGCCACACCAAGTACAATATATAAAGTAAAATAATACTATTAAAAATTATTTAAAATATTGTCAATATGTTAATGCAACACAGGGTGCTGCACTCTTATGATGTAGCTGTAATAAAACATTATACTAATGCTGATAAAATCATTAAGTTTTGGAGAATGACCATTTATTCAGGATCTCTTTCCATGTACCGCTGCAGAGTTTAACGCTGAGAATACGGAGACAAACGAATGTCTAGCATGTGACAGTGACACACAGACTAACTGTAGGGACTTGTGCCGCTTACAAGTTGTGTAACGTTAAAATTTATCCGACTGACAATGCTCATCGGCCCTGACATCGCTCAACTAAACTGCTGCTTCACGACAACTTTTATCTGTCAGGATACTCACCAACTCACACGACTTCACCTAACATGAGCATAACCTTTCCTCCTGCATACCGTACATGCACTCTCTTGACAGTTTCTTTTTTTTTTTTTTTTTTTCACGAAACCGGCTTCCGCTTCCCGGTCGAGAAGGAACGTCCGAACGTTCGCGGGGAGGTACTAAGAACCGTTAGAGGACTACTAAGTCATTATACGTCTATTGGCCAAATATTTTACTAACACAAATTTTATAATCAACAGAAACCCAAGACATATAACTGACACAACCGGTATAATAAACACCCTGTATGTAAAGCCCCAGTTTGACAGAGCACCCCCCCCCCCGTTCATGCTGACAGTGGGCTGCTCCACTGAAGGTGACCTTCTTTCGCTCTATCTTCCACACAGAGGCTGTTACCGAACATGTGCCTCTGTGTATCACAATCTACAGCTCCTAACGTGTGTTTAAACAACAATCCGTGTGTAACAAAACCACAAAGCAATTCTGAATAATAAGACGAATCATGTTTTACTGCCAGAATAATAGGAGGCCACAAACTGACAGAGACGGAAGACTGTTTTTCTGTTAGCACTCAAATTAGCCACAGTGCTGGTGCCACCCGACCCGTACCGGAAACCCGATTTGTTTCTGCGCATGTGCAGTGACTTTGTTTCCGTACCCGGACGTACCAACGTTAAACAAAATTTATTAAAAACTTATTTATATGGATACGTTTGCCAACCTATTACCAACACTCTGGTAAAAGCATTCTAATTAACATGGAAATATAATGAACCTGCCTAAATCTAAATATTAGTCCTAGAAAAACGAACTGGAGCTCTGTATTCAAATGACAGTTGACAGAACAAACATATTCTTTCACACCCCCACTACTCGAGTAGTACGACATTCGATTATTTAATATAATTAAACATTTTGTCGTTCGTTTGTTATCATGTTGCTGATAATAAGGTGTTTATCTAAATGACAGTTTTTATAATCCGAACCAAAACAGTAGGTCGTCGCACTGCCGCCCATGCGCAGAACGAGTCGGGTTTCTGTTACGGGATCGAACCGGGTAGCTAACGTTAGCATACCGGCTTTCATATTTGACACAGTCAGACATAAACCACATGCAACTGCTGTGACGCGGAGACATTAACGTCGGCCATGTCTATGTGGATAGTGTTTAACAACTAGCGTCACAAGAGTGTTAACGTGCAAATTTTATATTACATTGATACGTGTACGATGCTAGCTGCAATGTGAAGCTGGTCAAACCAGGAGAGGCTGCCAAGGAGACGACTGGGGGAGGGGATGGGGGGCGGAAGGGGGACAACACACATGTGTCGACCCCACAGACCATCACCTTGGCTTTAAGGACTTTTCAGTTTCTGGCAAAAGCACATAGCCGAATGCCACTAACTTCACTGAACGCAAAAGCCAATGACCTACAGACACGATGTATAAAATGCATGCGTCTTGTAAGTGTGTAACGTGTTTTTGAATTATGATTCTGTGTGTAAATCACATATAATAATGTAAAAATGAACAATGTAGCATCTAAAGCTGCTTGCTGAGTCTCACCACAACCACACGATTTCTTCGGACGTGTCTTGCTGCTTTCCTGGGCTCCATTCAGGGGTTCATCCGCAAGATCAACCGGATTACAGTGGGGCACTGATGCCGGGATGTCATCCGTCTTGCTCACCATCGTCAGCAGTTAGTGTGGCTGCAGAAAAATCCCTCAGCAGCTTTGCTTGAATGTGGTGCTCTGTGGGAAATGATACGAGAAAAACCCAAGTTTGCTCCTCCTGCTAACGCTGACTAGCTTGGCTACATGCGAAGGGTACGTAGGAGCTTACAACAACAAGTGCAGGGAGGAAGGACAGCGCTGTACATGGTGCTGAACACACACGTGGTTTCTCTCATCCCTCCTCTTGACCTCTTTGCCTTTGCTTGCGTTTCCACTCCCACCGTGCGTGGCGCTACGGAAAGCGACGTGTGACAAACGTTCCCTTTCGGTTTTCTCTTTCTTTTACCCTAGACAGTAGTTTATTTTTTGCAATCGCAGGCTGACCTTTGACACGTTGACCTAGATGTTGTCAGATGTTCTCAGCTGTGGACTAAGCCACCAACAACCACCGGGGACAGACCCCAATATAGAGACGCAACTTCTCCCACTAAACCAAACCTTCAAAATACTAAATAATTCTTAGCTTCTCAGTCTGACCTGTGTCCTCTGTGTTGTATTGTTTTTATTTCTCATGAAAGCCCAAGGAAAAAGTTGAAAACCAATGTCTAATTTCATAATTGATCAATAAAAAGGGTTCTGATAACATGGACATGATGCCTTCAGTAAGTACGTCATCTATTTGTGTTAGTTTACCTTTTTACATGTGAAGTAACCTTTTCCAGAACTCACAACCCCCAATCACGTTAATTGCACATCATATTATACATCAACATTTCTTTCTTGAATTTATTTATATTTAATTTCTATTTTAGATCACTTGTATTGATATCAAAAACTATGTGTTATTCAAACATTACTAGTTTTTATTCTTTGCTACAACTTACTCTGCATAAATGTCATGTTCCTTATCCATCTAAAATAACTGTGATGTAAAAGATTCATTCTTCTGGAAGGAGAAGAAAAAATGACTTTTATTTTGATGACAAAGAGACATAAAAGTAGACAATCCTTCAGTTTTATTCCAGTTATGTGTAATAGACCATTAAAGGAAGCAAACACAGTATATGCGGTACTCAGTCAGTAGCTTATGCTCTTTAAAGAACCAAACTGACAAACAGCCAGACTCACACCTCACTACCTCAGAGCTGGCTCCTACACAGCATTATTGCTAGTGCCCAGGTAACATGACAAACAAGATGCATTCAAATGATTCAGCAAGATGCTTAATTAATTCATGACATATCAGCAGCTGGGGGTAGAAGAGGACAAAAGAAGAAACACTTGTTGTTTGCAGAAGTGATGGATTATTATACATACCATTGAAGACAGATTATAGATTCTGTGAGCTACATAATCGTGTTTGAGTAAAGAGTCAGGATCTGAAATGCAAAGAACAAAACCCCCCATATGATACAGATATGCTCTCCTAGGTTGAAATAGAAATGCAAAGACTTGATCATTAAGGCAACGCGTTCACCTTTCTGCATGTTTTTTTCATACCGGTTCCTTTGACTCACCAGCGTTTTCACATTTTTGTGATCACACAAATCTCCAGCCTCTGCGTTTTAAACAACTGCAACTTCACTGCATACAGTAGCTAGTGTTCTCAGAACCCATATATCACACATGAATCAACCATAAATCCTACCAAATCACAGGAATGATCTCATACCTAGAAGTTGGTGCAAAGGACTGACTGGGAGAAACACAAAGATACCATCACACTCTGTCACGACGTGTGAGGAAAGATGATTGAACTCATCCACTACCAATGGCTTACTATCTATTGGATTGATTAGTTTCACATTTGCATTTTTGTAGGACATGGCTCATTCTACAAATAAAATAAACCGTTACATTGAGATTCAGAAACAGTCAAAAAAACTCCCAAAAAACAATTGAAATTCAAACGATCTGTCGGACAATTCATAAAAATGTGCAGCTCAATAAACCCAAGGTACAAAGTTACACAATTGTCTACACAAATACGTCAAGTTGTACTTAATCCAGTTGATATGAGTTACTTGTAATATATAAATATTGTAATATTGAAATATTGCTTTGTGTAACATTTACTAATAAAACCTTCCTAAAATTCCCACCGCTGGCTCTATAGGTGGAAAAAAAACATCTTCTCTCCAGCAGTTTTAAAAAGTCAGAAGTGCTGCACGCAACGGTCAGTACAGTAGGTGATGATGAACTTAAAGATGACAAAACTCTGCCAAAAACCTTCTGTGACCTGAACTCTTACTTATCATTTTAATAAGGCAGTAATTATAACGGGGAGGGAGGAGTCTTTATAAAACGACAGGCTGATGATCATCAAAGCCACAGCCTCTGTCGACTCGATTGACATTTGACCATTTTTTTTAAATTGCTATTTCCATTTTGTAACACTGGAGGTCATTATATACGCGAGATTCTCGAACCCAAGAAGAAGACAACACTCCTGTCTTTACCAGTCTGTCTGTGAAAACGGTTTACTGTAGATTGAGGTACAGACAGACATGAACTAAAGTATTAGTAGTAGTGTGTGTGTGTAGTTCTGGTACAGCTACACCTGTGGGGGATTTTGGGAAATAACTATAGTTTTACAGACACTGTACTCACAAAGGAGTTACTGAGTAACAGAGTACATTAGTCTGGAGTTAGGGTTAGAATTGTATCATATTAGAGTTAGGGCAAGGGTTAGGAATGGCCATATATTTGTAAAAGTTACTAAGTTAAGGTATTAAGTAATGTATTATTATTATGTATTATGTCAACGTAAAGTTCTAGGTCTACATAGAAAACACACAAAACCCGTGTATGTGTGTGTGTGTGTGTGTGTGTGTTTAGTCCACAAACACCACCTGAGTAAAGCCCGGGGTCCAGGGAGGCTAACTGATCTAAACTGAACATGATGTGTTTACAGTCATAACAGACAAAACAGTCACACCCACAATAGTATGAAACATAAACGTGACCACAGAGAGTAGTAGCCTTCAGTCGTCATGTGACCGGTTTGTTATGAAGGGTTGTGTGCACTTTCTGAGTGGGAAGTAAATATTAAAGGTAGAGTAGTAAAAAAAAACATAACAAACAATAAAACATTATAGCAATTTTCCGTGGGCTACTCTGTATATATTAGGTAGTAAATTAACATGAGAAAGTCATGTCAAATTAAAAGAAAAATACTTTTAAACAATAATAATGTGTGTGGTTTGGTTTGTTGGGACCTGGTGGTCAACTTTTATACTAATATAAAATATAACATTTTTATGATTAGACTAAACTAGATGTGCACATTTGAATAAAACCTGAACACCTTTATAAACTCCCATACATGACATCTACAATATTAATTCAAAGTAAATAGCAGTCGTCATAGTAGACAGAAGTTCTACACAAGTAAACAGAGACTCGTGTGGACAACAACAAAAAGGGGAAAAAAAACATATATTTTCCTGTTGATGAATGAATATCACTGTAGTATAATTTAAATAAGAACTCGTTCGATGTTCACTTTGGTTTTCAAATCATTGTATCTGTTTACTGTTTTCACACTGTGGATTATAAATGGGTATAATGTTTACTTTGTTATGTGTACATGTTTATACCTGTTGATATATGTGTGTGTAAATATCAAAATGACCCGTAAATAACTTATTTACTATTTATGGTGACAGATCTGCAGTTTTTGGCGCCCTCTGCTGTTAATTCCCTCCCTTTTCCTACCACAGGAATGACATAAACTTTTAAGAGAAAGAATAAGAAAGGACATGAGAGGAAGCACAGTATCAACACATCACCCGACCCGGGCTGCAACTGTAGTTTTTGTTTTTTTAAATTTGTAATTTATATATTTAAAACAGGTAATTATTGAAGTGTCATCATAAAAGGCGTAGAGCTCCAGCAGATCAGTGGCTCAACTCACCCACACAGGGCAGCATCACTTTGGGCTTCACTCTAAAACCAGTGGTCAGAACCAGAGTCTTGTGTTTACAAATACTAACCTAAAATTCCTGAATGCTTTCTTCAAAAAAGGTGAAAGATAAAAACATTTGAGGAGAAGAAAAATCAGCGTCACTTCTAGTATTTCAGATCAGTTTCACACGTGTATGTGAACCGTATTATTAGGACTTGGGTTCATTCAAAAACTGTTGCTAAAAAAATGATCTAAATGACAGGTGTTTGAAATTGTTTTAACTAAGATTCTAGGGGACTTGGAACACACACACACACACACACACTTAACACAGTGGACTCACACAGGAGACGACAATCACTTCAGATATTCTCAGCTGGCGTCGCACACATTTGGCCTGACAGAGTGATTTATGGACGACCTTGAAGGGTCACAGTTGTCTGCTGGGCTCGTGGTTGACTCGACAATGGCTGCTACTCTACAAGGGTTTCTTCTCTGCACAAAGGCCCCTCAGTCCACAGAGAAAGTGGCATCAGTGTAAACAGATTCAAACTGATTTAAAGTGACACTGAGTTTCATATCAAAGTCCACTTTACAAAAGGTTTTCTACGCTTAAGTGTGATATAATTCAAAAGCTAAAAGGAGTCTCTTCATCAGTCCAGTCAAAGGTGCAGAAGAACGTGTTTTAACAGTCCGCCATGAGGAATCACCCACTTCCACATCAAGTCACAGTAGATACTAATCCGCCTTGGTTTCAGCCGCAGGGGGCGCTGCAGCTGAAGACATGAGTCTGGCAGCCTCGTCCTGTGGTTCCACTGGAGCCTCCCCGCCACCTTCCTCCTCCTCCCCCTCCTTCTCCAGGCCCACAGGAGGTAGTCTTTGTGCTGCAGCGCTCCTGGAGCGAGGTCTGTGCCTGCGAGGGTGGAGGAAGAGCGCGGGGTCGGGCATGGCCGTGGGCTCCGCGGGGCCCAGCACCCTCTCTATTGGCACACATTCACGAGCACGTTCCACCCTCAGCGATGCTCTCTCTCTCGTGCTCTTACGTTTGGGTTTGACCACAGGCGATGAAGGGGAGGCTCCTGATGGCATCTGAGGAGGAGCGAGGTTCTGGTCGGCCCCCGGCCGGGCCCCCTGATTGCCGGCCCTGGCCAGAAGACCCTGCCTCTGCAGCATCCGCTGATGGTGCAGTTTCTGCCTGGCGGCGTGCAGCTGGAAGGACAGGTACGCAGCTGCTTCAGTTTGTTTCTGCAGCTCCGTGTTCAGGACGGTGGAACAGTGGCTGCGGCGTTTGAGCTCCTCCAGAAAATGGCGCTCCTTCTGTTTGAGATTGGCTCGGAGGGCCCCCACCAGGGCCCCTTTGTGAGTCAGCTCCTTTCGCAGCTCTCCTAAGGTACACTCCTTCTCCGAAAGGCAATCCTCCAAATCCTGACAGTGTTCCTCCAGGAGCTCCTCCTGCTCCTGTAGATCTGACACACAGAAGGAGGGAACATATTCCTGCACATGAGCTCCATAAGTTTAACACGTGTGTCATTAGAGTCTGGAATGTTGTGGGGAAAAAACACTACGTGGTATTGAACCCAGAACCTCCTGCCAGGGGTGCCTCCACTGCACCACTCTACTCTTATCATCAGTATCAATATGACCTTAAAAATAACAACTGTTCAGACAGCAGCTTCAGGCTGTGTTGTTGGATAATTCAATCACAATTCTAATAGTTATGGCACTGACTTTACAAATATACCAATACTACAGTATGTATTTGAAGCTCAATGACTTTTTTTTAACCTGAATGAGGTTCTGTCTAGAGAGCTCAACCGAGGACTGGCTTCCATACCAACGTACAGCGTGGGGAAGCTGTGAACTTTTAGTGTTTAATCAAATAACATAAATAAAAATATATAAATATATATAATCCTCCTACACTTAGTGGTGCTCACTGTGCCTCACTAGTTTATTTTACCAATTTTTAACAATAACAGAAAATAGTAAAAAAATTATAATAATATTATAATAATAAAATCTAATTATTATTTTATGTCAACAATATATATCATGAATCTACGTTTTTGATGTCTAGATGGGGAAAATTTTTATTTAATTATTAATAGTATATTTCTGGGGGGCTGGAACGAGTTAATTGGTTTTTAGATATTTTTAATGGAGAAAATTCGATCTAGATACAAGTGCTGTTGTGGAACAGATTAAACTCGTAGCTCGGGCCCCACTGTATTATTATCTATTTAAATATAGTAATAAATATTCTGCAAGAACACAATCCTTGGAGGTTTTGGTATTTCAGCTGGACATACACGGGTGGTTTGTTTCCTTTTCGTCATTCTGTCGACTGTAATAAAAGTGTGGACTGGACATAAGAACGGCATCAACACTTTCTCTGTCTGTCTGAGGACCAATCACTCTGGGATTTTCTGCTGCCCATCACCTAACTCCAGGCTGGGCTCACGTGCTAACTATAGACCACCTAATATGATCAAGCCCCTCCTTGTCTTCCCTCTGCTCCTCTCCTCCAGCTCTACAGCTGACCTGATCCTATCAGCTCCTCTGGCTCCCTCTCCTCTCTACATCTCATTCTTTATCTCTCTCTCAATCCACTCTTTTCCAGACTCAATGTTTTTTTTTCCTTCTCAGCAAAGTCTGAAAGCAGACACCCCCTCAGGGGCAGCGAGTAAAAAAAATTTAAGAGCAGGAGTAGGAAAAAAGCTGGATCAATTCGTCAGGATGAGTGGTAGAAGAAGAGCTGCCTCTCCCTGTATCGATGGACGAGGGAGGGGATGACCCGTTCTGTCTGCTCACTAATGCAGCCATGCAGCACTCCACTGCTGCACACATTCAGATTCATCTGTTTTTACTTCCTCTGGAACGGAGGTGACGCGGCTCCTCCCTGATCACAGACGCCACCGGTGCGTCTGTAAACCTCTGCTATAATCTAATCCAACAGCACACCAGAGATTATGTTGTCCCACTGCTGTGTCGGATTGGTGGGTTGAGGATGGGGTTAAAAAAAAATAGGGAGGAGAATGCCTGACAGCAATCTCTCCCTGGGGGGGATGGGAGGGTGAGGAGGGCAGATGGAGGATGGGATGGATGCAGAAAAAGAAAAAAGCGGGGCAGTTTATGGGGGCTGGGGGTGGACAGTGTGAGGATGAAAACAGGCTTTGAGGAAAAACAACATGAATTAAACAGATGATTATGTACATTTTTATTTATTTATTTTTTGACATACCAATTTGGCTTCGACCCGGAGGCTTCAACTCCAGCTCACTTGTCAATTCTGGGGGAAAAAGAAAGGCAGATGCAGATCGTTAGCTGAAGACAGACACACAGTGACAGAGGAACGTCTTTCTCAGGTCGAACTGAATACAGGAGCAGTTTCCAGCACAGCAGAGAGTTCATGCATAAGTAATGAAGCTAAATCTGAGACTTTACATCAAAGACCCCGAGACACTGCACACTTGGCCGATCGTGTCCTGGTACACTGCTGGAAATATTAAAGAAAGAAAGAAATAAACAAACCCTCCTCCCTGTGACTGCAGTAAGACATATCCACATCATTAGCATTCCTCCCTTAAAATCAATACGCACTTTATAAGAACCACTGAGGCAGCCTGAGGCAGCCTGGAGTTTATTCATTCGATCTGCCCCTGCTGGGTTTCACCATCTTTAAAAAAAAAAAAGAAAAAAGAAATTTGTACTATATTGATGCCACATTTGGGAAACTGCTGGGTTAGCAGCAGATATGATGTTAACAGGCTGCCGCAAGCAAGCACCAAGCATGTGGTTCCTCTGGGAATTGAAGCAAGAACTAGCTGCTTTCAAGGCAGGTGTGCTAACCGCTGCACTACGTAACCTATACCTTCTCAGACCACTGTTTTTAACCTGGTTCTCCATGACTTCAGTGTTCACGACCGTCTCCTGCAGCAGGAGCAGCAGCTGCAGCAGGAACTTTTTTTCCCGACTGGGATGAAGCTTTTTTCATGTCATGATTTAATGAGAACTCTTTGAATCCAATGGCTTTGTGCTATAAAAAAACAGGATGTCTGCAGCACTCCCGTCTGACTGTCGGACTGCACAATAAAACAGTTGCCATCAAAGACACGGCTGCACTTATAGTAACAGAGCTGAATCCCGTCACTGTGAGTCTGTCCACCAACACGATGGGGATGATTCAAACAATATGTGATTTCATATCTCCCACATGGACGTCGTTCAGATTCCACATGGATTTTATCTCATATTCTGGCTCCACAGCAGCTGATGAGTCAGGGCTTTGGAGAAAAAAAAGGCCTCAGCCTGGTGGGGCAGGTACAGCACTGTACAGTACTAGGGGTGTTAGATTGCTGGGGATCAGACTGACACTGGTGTCTGAACTGTCACTCATTCTGATGGTCACTGACAAGGCATGGCCGCAGCGAAACAGAAGACATACCATACCATAGCACATACCAAGAGGCTAAGGGAGGAACAGGTTCACAGACAGACACGGTATACAGTATATATAAAAACAAACTCTGCACAAGTTCATGTTCTCTGCATGAACTCCGCATAAATATTGTACGATAAAGGATAACCGTAGGCGTCACTACATATTTGTGTTGATGTGTGACCAGATTAGGTAAAATGGACTGGTGAGAACAGAGAGAGGAGTTATTTCCAGACCATTCTTTTCTGGCTGTCTGTGTCACACCCTGTCTATTTCCCTCTGCAGACAGAACAACACGCCCACCCGTGAAGCTGTCGTGAAGAGAGAGAGAGAGAGAGAGGCAGAGAGAGGGTGAGGAGGGCTGGAGGGGAGGCGATAATAAAGAAGAGGAATGGAAAAATAAAAGCAGAGTACAACTTCAGACACACTGACAGATTATATATTTATATGTATGTACACACTGTATATATGTATATATATATGTGTGTATGTATGTATAAATACATATATACATGGTTAACATCTAACAGTTAAGGTGCAGGACACCTCAAATATAGCAACTACACTTATATATAATATATATTATAATATAAATATATAAAATATACAAATATTTAAATAAAATAATTAAAAGCTGTTATTATTATTATTATTATTATTATTATTATTATTATGTATCAATATAATAATAGCTGTCATTTAATGTAAGGTAAAGTCAATTGTATTTTTTATTACTATATAACAAAAACGTTTTCTTCTAATTCAGAGTATAAAGTACACGGTGTGGATCACACTTCAACATCAACCATGTTATCCAACTGGGTCAGGCTTATCTGTCGCTGCCTCAGCGTGGGTAATATGGGTTTTTGTTTCATACAGTAGCTTCACCTTGACCGTTCATAAAGATATCTGAGAGAACACACACGTGCACAGCCCATAACTGAGTTCTCTCACACACAATAAAACACATTAGCCTGATTTCCAAAGATGTTGCTGATTCACAGCAGCAGGTGAGTGGAGCAGCCGCAGAGACAACAGTTCATCCACCGGCTCGACCTTGCTGTGACCTTTCATCCTGCACATTAGAGGAGTTGGCACAGCACACACTAATCATTCCTCAGCTTCAAATCTTCCACATCAGCATCTTCCCTCACGGGGTGTAGCGTGGTTAGCAGTGATGCGTCACAGCAGGAAGGTCATGGGTTTGCATTGTGCAGCACCTGACTAATTAGAACATACCATGATGATGCTGTTCATCCACCAAACCACATCTGTGATTTGTCATGAAGCTGGGTCAGAACGGCCTCATACATGCAGTACTGTGGGAGTTCCAGACAGGTACATGTACTATACCCTCCTGTTACAAAGCCTTTCTTTCCAAGCATTCAAAGAAAATGAAGAAAAACATCTGATTCGTGGACCATATGCGGGCAGCTAGCTGCCATTTGAATTTAGTTCAATATTACATCAACAGCTGGGAAATGATTCACATTGTCAAGAATGAACTTCTGCTTTTCCACATTTGCTGTATGTACTCAAAAAGCTGAACAATGGAGGATACACTGTAGTAATTGTAATGCGTGTACCGGATATTCATGCCACCGACTACAATATTGTCTTATCATGAGGTTTGTCTCTGTCTGTGCACAGTACTGACTACAATACACCAACTCCAAGAAGGTACATGTTCAATTATACTTTTGTATATTTTTCTTGACGATCAATTGTGAATATATCACACCTGCAATTGCTCAGATTGCATATTTTAATTGTTTGACAGCCCTACTTAAATCACAATAATCTGAGTGAGAACATGTGACCTTTCTACTATGAGGCAACAGAGATTACCACTACACCATCGTGTCAGCAAAAAAGTACTTAAAAATTGTACACAGTACAAAAATGAAATATTTTTGACTTTTTTGTTTCACTTCTACTGTAACGACGTGAACCTTTCGATCATGAAGGAACTCAATGAACGTTCTAAAGGTTGATCCTGGGTTCTGTCAGAGCAGACTCCAGCTGCTGCAGCGAGAAGAGGTACTATGGATCAAGAGAAGAGAACATGTTTGTTTGTTGCAGAGGGAACGCAGCTCCTCTGCCTGGAGACGCTGTTATCGATTAGACGGTGGCAAACTATCATGTTTCTCAACTTTTAGACTCACTCACACTGTTTTCCTGGAGACGAATAAATACATCCAGCAAAGAACTTTGGCTCCGTGGGGACGAGAAATCATCATCAATAACCTGTAATTAACACCGCACAGCTCAGATACAGAAACAGGAATATTTAAAGGTTTTAGAACGTCCACTCTCACACACTCAGGAATGAAAAGTCATGCAGAAATATATGGTATATGGTGAAATATGACTGGTGTGAGTATAGAACAGAAATGGTCAAATGATTTAAATGACAAAAGGAAGAACAAACACTACATCCAACACACACACACACACACACACCAGTACAGCCCTCCCCCTCTGTCTTTAGTTAACCACGTCCTCGTCATATGGATTAACAGAACAATGCCAACTAAAGATTAACCAGACAACACATCACATGTTTGTGTCTTCCTAAGGATTCATTTCTCTGTGTCAGTAACAATAGTTGTGTGACCGACTGTTTCAAACACTGTAATGAAGACAAAAATACATTTTTTAAAAGTCTCATAAAAGGGATTACCTTTCATTTTGACAACATTATTTTTAGACTTTTTAGAGTTCTGGCTCAAAATGTTCACATCGATTGTATTTGGAATGTGGGAATTTGTAAACTATGACAATGACAGGGTTTCAAACAAATCTAGGAAACTGGAAAAATGATACGTAAGAGAATCCTGCTCTGTAATACATATATATATGTCACATACATCTATGTGTACTGCATATATGTAGAGACACATATTGACCTATATGTATATATAAAAATACACATATAAATATATGCATATGTATATACCCATATATATTTATATGTGTGTGTATATATAAGTTATTAGATGTCTATGGTATATATGTATATGGAAAATACATATGTTTGTATGTATATGTGTGTAGAGAATGAAAGGTTAAATGATAAAAATCAAATGAATCACTTGGTAGCTGTGGATCAATCAAATAATCATGGTTAATCAAATTTAATTTAATTTTCTTTCTTGGGATGAAGATATAGTTTGGATTAAAATGTATATTCAGTCATCAGTCACAGTCAACTGCCATCGTACCAGTAAACGCCTCACTGCTGTCAGTCAAACTGAATTTCACTCAACAGTCTGCTGAATATAACCTGAACTAAACTGACTTGGCTTGACTGCAGCGTGTGCATTAAGATGGATTTTAATTACTTAGAGTCTGGACATGTTTGTTGTTTCTATACTGTAGCAAAGAATTCAATAGAACTTCAAAGTAAATGTCCTCACAAGACTGGTAATAATCACACGTGTGTGTGCTTTTAACGTGACCGTCCATTAAGCCTCCAACAGGAAATGAGGTCATCTACAGGAATCAAAGCATGACATCACCATGTAGTCACAGGCTGACACTGACTGATGGAACAGACACACAATCCACAGACAAAGGAGACCAACCGTGGAGACTGTATATTCTACAACATTCAAGTCACAGAAATGAAGCTGATGCCGTCTCCCTCCCCCGTCACCTCCCACCCTCCTCCAGCACGCCCCTAAAATCAGTAAGTGGTCACTCAGGCTGAGAAGAACGTGGTCATAGATGAGCTCCGGTGGAACTCTCACACTGACAGGAAACAGCAGAGCAGTTGTTCACTCGCTTGATGAATCTTTGCAAAGTGAACATTAAATCATTACAGGGAAAACAGACAGAGAGTCTGTGTGTTTTTTCTCCAACAATTTGTCAAATCTGCATTAAAGCTTTTTTTTTTTTTAATTTCCTCTGCGAGAGTCGCGTCAACGAGAGGGGTGACCGCTAATGAATAAAGAAGAGCAGCAGATGTAAGAAGCAAAACCAGGCCAGGAAATCATTTTTATGTGAACCATTAAGTGATAAAAAAAAACTCCTTTCGAGGATTTATCGGAAACAGCGGACGTAAAAAATATGACACAGACTCTCCCTTGTCGTTTCATTTGAGGAGGGTGACTCACCTGAGCATCGTTTCTGCAGGGAGAGGATCTCCAGGTGGAGACCGTGCAATAAAGTGAGGTGCTCCTGTCGGAGGAACACCGTGCTCCTCTCCACGCTCTGGATCTGCCGAGACAGTCTGCTCTCGTCGTCAGCCATGGTCCAGTCTGTGGGAGAAAAGGGAATCAGAGACAGGACAGACCAAGAAAACCAGCCTGGAAATGATATTTGCATCACAACTATGTTAAAGCTAAATCATGACTACAACATCAGACCAGTATATATAACAGAAAGAAGAGAGCTGTAAATATTTTCAAAAATTATGGCTAACCATTTTTGAATGGTCAGAGTAAATTATCGACTTGCTTGCTAACAGCAAAACAACATAATGTGGCCTTAAATCTAGGCAGTACCTGCCTGTACTTTAACAGTATTTAAACAGAGGCAACACCAAAAAAAAGTGAACTGCTTTCTTTCTCTACGTCCTCATAAATATTCAGTGTTACTACAGTACTTCAAACGTCATTCAATGCACTACTACCTTTATTTAAAAATGGTTGAAATATTTCGGTGGACACGTGGCCGGGTCATCACCTACTGTTGACCGAGGTTAACTCTGCCCCCTGTCAGTGAGCAGGGTGAGTGTGTACTGAGGTTGAGCTCACACCTACATCATCAAAAACAGGACATGGGAGTAAACCTGCAGCTGGTTACAGGGGGCACTGCTGTGCTGTGCTCCCCTGCATTGGGGTCAACACCAGAGTTTGTGCTTCTCACCTTTAAAGGGATGTTAAAATGCAGCTGCAACGTTGGAAATTCGATTCAAAGATGTCACAAAAACGGTCAAGGCATTGTAGTCCGCGGTGAAGGTTCGAATCCTGTCAGCCTCAGGACTGGTACTGAGGAGCATCAAAGTGCTGCTCAGCTGCATGTGACGCCGTTAGATTTCAGCAGAAAGACGCAGGAAAAGATGCGTAAAAGCCGCACAACCTGCGCGACGCCGGGCGCCGCTGTCCACATGCGCACCGGGCTGCAGCATCACTCGGCCCGGACATCGTTAGGACGACGGTGTGGTCACCGTGAAAGCCCCGTGTTGACGGTCCACAGATGCGCTCAGAGATCGGCTGAGCTGGGAAATGATGAAAACAAGGCACAGTGAGCAGAGGACGACAGAGCATCGGATGACGGAGTCAGCGTGGCTGCTGATTGGACGAGCCGGGCCTCATCAGTGTGCGTAACATCGTCATCCACTCACAATCAATACAATTCTATAATAGAACACATCATCAGAGAAGGGAACTCAGAGGGCAAGGAAAACACGTCTAATGTGTTTGATTTATAAATGAACCTGGAAGGAGCATTTACAGAAAGAAAACAGAATTATACAAAATAGATTTTGGAGAGCGCCGTTTTTCCTGTATATAAAAATATAATAAATTAGTCGTTTTTATTATTTACTGTTGGTTAGAGCTGGCACGGACAAAGAGCAGATAATAAATGCACAGCACTTCCTCACCTGCAGGCTCTGGTTGCAGGGTTAACATCAGTGGTCAGGGTTAACACAAGGGGGCAGTACAATCAGCTGACTCCAGGTGACATCAGGCTAACACCTTGGAAGACATGCAGAGACAAAGCACCATTCACACTAACATTCACATCAACAGTCTGAATGTTAGTGTAAATGTTGGTGTAAAGAGACAGAAATGTGCACATTAACATTCACAATACCAGTGTGAAATTTGGTTTGAAGAGACACACGACTATTCACACTAACCTTCACACCCTTTGTGTGAAGGTTAGTGTGAAAAGACACTCAACTACTCACACCAACAATGTGAATGTTAGTGTGAATGTTAGTGTAAAGGAGTACTTATCAAATAGTGGGGCGGGCCCCCCGAGGGGAGCGTGGTGAGGTGCCAGGGGAGGGGCGTGAGGGGCTTCAACTGGAATATGGCACGCATATGGACATCAGTGTACCACTGCTGTAATGCTAACAAGCCTCCAGTCACTAGGTGGCAGCAACTGGTTTGTACAGATAAAAATATACTGTATATGTTATCAGGGTCTCAATGGTATTTAAATGGGTCGCAGAGAGGGGCGGGGGTGTGAAAACATTTCTGTCCCCAAGGGGGGGCATGACAGAAAATAACTGAGAACCACTGGTGGAAAGAGACAAACAACCATTCACACCATTGATGTGAACAGTAAATGTAGTTGAGTTGTCCTTCGAAGTCACAGATACTTCCACGTCCACGTCTCCTGCAGCTTCTATTGGTCAATCACGCAGCCAATCACTTGACACAAAGTATACAAAACATGACAGTTTTTCACAGAAGGAAACAGAACTGTATGTAAACATGTTTTACTTTAATGTAAACCATGACAGTTATACAAACACATAGACTGGAATTTTCATGACAAACAGTTGCACCAAAAACGTGTTTTAAATCTGATCACCTTTACTGAGGAAGAACAGAGGAGACGTGGCTCACCGCTGTAGTTTATTTCCAACTACAGCGTACCATAGACATGTCGTCTGAACGCCGCGTACGTTAGTGAGTCAGAGTCATCCAGTCCTGGTCTATAAGAAGTCCACAAACAGAAGCACAGTTATCAAGGTTAAAGACAAAAATCTGGCAAAACATTTAGATCCTCAGGGTTAGAACTTCTCCAATCACCAACTGTACAATCCTCAGTAAAAAATTATTCATTAAAAAACAAACACAGAGCCAATCACTCCAGGCTTCACTCCTTCCACGTCGTTTTCTCCTCAGTGACTTTACAGACGACAGAGTAGAGCAATGTGACTGACAAAGGCGTCAGTGAGGCTTGTTAGAAGTCTTTGACTTTAATTGTCACATAAATGTCTTCATTTCCACCACGGCTGCTGTGATTACTCTAATAAAGATCTAAATGTTCCAGAACTAATTCATGTGCAGTTTCAACAGCTGACAATAAGTAAGTCGTTATATTTTTCTACAAACTCCACCACCTTGTTCCCAATCAGTGCAGTTGTTGTTCAGTGCAGTCATTTTTGAATTGAATAAAAATAATTAGGGAAAAAAACCCTTTGGCCTTGTCTCATAGAATGAGCTGAGAAGAAAGTCAAAAAGTCATTAAAAAAATATGACACAGTAAAACATTTCAATTATTTTCAAGTCATAATTTTAGGAAAAATGCCTGAAATCTGATACGGTGTCAGAATGTTTAAATGAAGTGTTAAATGAAGATGATTTGAAATCTGGAATTAAAGTTACAACTGTTTTACAGCTTTTAAAACTGTCTTGGGATACCTAAGAAAATTGGATGGATTCTCTTCTGCAGTGGAGAGATGAGTGTGCAGCTTCAGAACACTCACACAAATCAACAACATAAAGTACTATGTTCGTAACATAATGACTCCGTAGACAATGATGTCATGAATGTTTTCAGGGCTTCAGCACCCAGGTCTGAAATCTTTAATCTGGAGCACTTTACAAATCAGCTCACCTCTGTTTGATGGTTTTTCTTTTTAACAATCAATTCAACACCGTTTTAATTCCATGGGCGATAAACTAATTTTTTTAATCCAATTTCTTTACCATAAATAAATTACAAAAAAAAAAAATGTACACAACGTAAACCTGCAAACAACAAATCAGAGACACAGAACTCAAGGACGTGAGCTGGAGGAGAAGGAAGTCATGCAGAGGAAGAAGAGTGCAGCAGAGTTCACTGATCTCAGACCAGAGCTCCTCTGTGTTTATCATCAAAAGAAACGCAAAGATTTACATTCACACTGAATCACAAACACGTCTCTGTTACTCTTGGTAGCCTTGAGGTCATGGCGGAGGCGCTTGACTTTGCTGCCCCCTAGAGGGTAAATGTAGAATATCGATCTCGGCCAGTCTGATGGTCACTGCGACCAGTGTCATGGTCACTTGATATCCACATGTTGATGTTAATATATGATCATTTTCCTTAATTTTTGTTGATCCTTTTTAACTAATATTTTAATGTTACAATAAACAAAATAAAGAAGCCACTACAGGGGTGGATGGAATGAGTCCTGAGCTACAGGTCTTTTGTGTTTTACCCCAAATAGCCAAATGCATGTGTAAAGGTTTAACAAGGACTAATTGTGAAGACCAGGATACATTCCATTATAATTAAATTATAAGTTTAGAGTTTCAAAGAGAAAAGAGAGCAGGGTGTTCAGTGGCCCATACAATGTGCACCAAATCATATACTGTATGGAGAAACACTGATTGTTTTCAGTACTTTTAACACACTTTGCAAAACAAGCACATTGGTTTGGAGTTCCCATCAGCCCATGCAAGATTAAACTACTGTAGTGATTTGGTAATTTTATGTTTCTGCTTTGGGAAGGACTTCCAGACAGACTACTGTTTTTGAATAGGCTGAATATAAGGAGTCTGGGTTGGAAATGTTTGGTTTAACTCTCCATTAGTGTGTTATTAGAAGCCAAAAGGATAAACAAAGATGGAGGAGACTCTGGAGTGATTTAGGGCTGTATTTCAGCCAGCACTGTCAGACGACCAGTTCAAATTGATGCAAGCAAGAACGCCACCTGGCAGTGAGATTAGGAAATCTACGTTCAACTCAAAGACGGACTATGAGGGGAAAAAAAAAAACAACTTTTAAATTAGCCAACTAAAGATTTGTCTCAATTTTTAGCAGATGCTAGATAGCTGTTGAATGTTGTTGGGTAAAGCACAAGAAAATTGCAAGGCTCAAGTCTTGGCCACACCCTGCTGTTTGGCATTTTGACATTTCATTTACCTTTCAGTTTTAATTAGCAGTTAACCAATCCTGTTTGCAGTTATTATTATTTTTAACCATAATGTTTTTTCTCCAGTTTCAACCAGTCCAACATTAAGAGTGAAGCTTATGTTGCAGAAAATATTACAAGCTTTTCAGAGGTAGCAAGTGGTTAGAGTTGAGGATATTCTGTTGGAAAAAAAAATCAACATATATATATATTTACCTTGGTAGTGTTGAACACCCAGAGGATTAAAATTATTATTATTAGCTTTAAATCAACTTCATGTGGGATTTTACATTAACCCAGACAGGCACATGTGCTGTATTTACAATAATATACAACATGTATAGAACAGAGATGCACACGTGTGTACAAGTACTCCTTGCTATTATTCTGCTGATCTTCATCTATTGATAGAAAAAAAAAAACATTCGTGACAGTGATGTGTGTAGTGTTTTTCAATGTGACAGGTCATTATAAACAGATTCCTCCAGTTGTCAGCTACGATGAGCCACTGGTGAGATGTGGAAAAACTCTGCAGAGACTGTGTCTCTGTGTGTAGTGTGTAAGATGGACTGGGACCGTGACAGATCACATGACCCTGGACCACAGCTTCAGATGGAAAAACAAGTAGAACCATGTTCAGCCACAAGGTGGCAGCCGACAGAAACAAGTGTTTTCATGAATGTTATCCTTCTGTTTTGTTTTCCTTCATATTTCCTCACATCTCCTTCTCCTTCTTGGTTTCCCTGGTGCTGCTCTTCAAAAAGTCGCTCCTCAGCAGTCGATAAAAGAGCACGATATTCATGACGGTCATGATGGCCATGCCCACACTGCCCAGGGTGTAGGCCAACAGGGGCACCTTCTCCCTGTTCAGCACCAGCCAGCGGGTCATCCAGGCCAGCGTGTTGATGCGGAACACCACGTATGTGCCCAGATTGATTATGCTGTTCACACGGTACAGCGTACCTGCCGCGATGTTGGCCATTCGCAGCAGCTGCCGGAGGTGGAGGAAAACGGAGTTTATCTCCACCAGCAGAGCCACCACAGCGAAGCCCACGTACCGACAGGACAGCACAGAGAGGCCGAAACAGGTGATGACCTGAAACAATGACAAGTAGACAGAAGAGCTGGACGGTTATGGTACGTCAGTGCTAATGTTGTTGTGGCTAAAAAATAAAGGAAAGTCATGAAAAATGAAGAGACAGTGAGACAGTATTGTAGTGGGGCAATCAGTATGAGTTACTTCAGGGCTGTGCAAAAGTTTTAGGCCTGTATATATTTACAGATTTTTAACACATTTTTTGTATTAATTTCGACATTCTTTTTTTCACATTATTAAACCACTAAGACCACTTTTTTTTAAGGACACAACTGGGTCAGAGACAACAGACCAACGTCTGTGACTCATGGGGCAGCCAGGCTGCTGGACTTGTTCTGCCAGTGTGCGTTTCCAGGCCACAGCAAGGCAGCCGAAACCATGACAGCTACCAGGAACCACATGACAAAATAAATCAAATTGAAGCATGGTTGGATGGAATAGTTGGAAAATATTAAATTATGTGAAAAACGATGAGTTTTTCTCGCTCTACATTTCAGAAAAGAAAGAAAAAATATGCTTCAAAAAAGGGTGAGGATGTATGGGAAATGTACACACCTGACCTGAAGTTTTTTTACTATTGTCTCACTAGCTTTGAGAAATAAAAAATATAGCTAATAAAGCTTATACATCGTACCGTTTTATCTAAGGTAAGCAGCGGTAGTAGTAGCAGTAGCAGTACTACTACTAGTAGAAGTAGTAGTATAAATATTATTGCATTATTGGCCATGTATTGACCCTGCACAGGGTCTTTTAATTACTTACTTATGTAATTCTGAGTTTCCAACACCAACCATTCTCTGTGATGCCAAAAAAATAAATAAAACACCTCCTTTAAGTTCCAACTGGAAAAGTGATGTTTGTCATGTCCATATTTCACCACATCTTTGCGCAATTAGTTTCCACTCTGGTCCATGTTTCCACACTTTATGCAAGCGAAGACTGCCTGCCTCCTACTGCCGACTGGTACTTATGAAAGTCACTGACGTGACATGTGATTGAACGCCAGCAGGGGGCAGCAGCGTCAGTTATAAACACCGTGTCGGTCTCGCTGTAGTGACAGTACACAGGAGTGAGGGGGGGGGAAAGGATTACACACAATATCTGGTATGTTGTGACAGCAGGAAAAGCTGCAGCTGTGTCAAACATGGACCAGAGAAATGAGTTTGTTCTGCAGCAGATTGTTGATCCACCTCTCACACTCACAGGAGACCACATCAGGCGGTGTTTAATGCCAGTGCTCAACGGCCAGATGTAACGCTTTTACACTCAAGAAGCTGTTTCTGGAGCTGAATCCAAAGTGAACCTGTCAGAACACTCATGTTCATCAACTGATGAAGCAAATCAGGCTAAATTTAGCTGAAGCAGAACGTTGGACCTTTGGATTCACACCGTCAATGACATCCTGCTTTTAAACCAAGATGTCAGGTAATGATGTAGCCTAAGTGACATTCAGGTGCTCAAACAGAACGTAGGAAGAACTCCCACAGACATGAGTGTTTTACAGCGTTTCTGTAAAAAAAAAGGAACTCTTTCTAGTTCATTTTTTTTTACATTCTTTTGTTGTTTCATACATTGAGAGTTATTGAGGTAAATAAGACCAGACCAGTTTTACATTTAATAAGAGATTAATAGTAATATAGAATATTACATAAAATCTTACATTAAATTAAATCTTAAAATCTTCAGACAATTCATATTATGCAAAGAAAAATAAAAAATAAAAAATAAGTGTTACAAAACAAAACAAAGCTGTGACCTAGACGTTTAACCTTGGCCCTCTTTGACACGTCTTATGAAAAGGTGTCATTCTTATGTTACTTAACATGAACATAATTGTGGTCTTATCTCTTATTGCCCTGAGTTTATGGCAAGGGTTCATGGTCATTTTAGGCCTAACCTTAGTATAAAGGCTGGTCAGTTCAAAATAACTGCAAAAGAAATGTTTACTTAAGAGTGATGCTAGATGAGAATGCTTGGTTTCTTTTTGACTTCCTGATGTCAACATGGATAAGAGCATGAAGAACAAAGTTATCTTATCACAGCAGAAGTCTAAGGTTTCGCCTCAATGTAAAACATACAGCTGTCAGAACAAACACCAACGCAAAGGTTAGCTTCAACAGTCCAGAAAGACACCGCAGCTAATGTTAGCTATAATAGTCCTGTTGCAGACACCAGAATTAATGTTAGCTACAACAGTCCTGGTACAGACACCAGAGCTAACATTAGCTACAACAGTTCTGGTACATCCACCAGAGCTAACATTAGCTACAACAGTTCTGGTACATACACCAAAGCTAACATTAGCTACAACAGTTCTGGTACATCCACCAGAGCTAACATTAGCTACAACAGTTCTGGTACATACACCAAAGCTAACATTAGCTACAACAGTTCTGGTACATACACCAAAGCTAACATTAGCTACAACAGTTCTGGTACATACAGTATAGCCAGTCAACCAGTGACCACATTACAAAGCAAAAAAGGCATTAAATGTTAAATATAACAGCTGTGTTTGTACTGAGTTTGTACTGGTCTGTGAATATAGCAGGTGAAAAATCTACAGATGTAGAGCTCAAACAACCATTTTGAGTGTTAAGTCTTTTTGTAATCATTGATTCAGATACACAACACACAACAGCAGTAGCTGCATTTATTGGGGATGTGATCAGAGAGAGGTGAGGTTTCAACAACTGGAAGAAGGTTTGCCCCTACTTTGGAGAACAGACTTTAAATATCCCAAAAACCCAGACTAAATATTATCATGATACAAATCAAACAAGTGAAACTGAAGGCCAGATGTGAAAGGAGAAGTGAATGTATTTTAAAGTTATATAAACCAAGGTGGAAAGTCCAGAAGAGAATGAGCTTAAAGAGCAAACAAGGATACGAGCAGGGACTCCTGAACCTTTGGACTCACTTATATATATATGTATGTATACATTAACCTGATGTTATAACCACCTGTTTAAGACCCACACATTGGGCTTAAGAACAAGGTGGTGTTTGGTGTTTGTTTGCATTTTCTCCCCCAGGGCTCAATTAAATGTCTACACCCTGGTGAGGGACCTTCCCGAAAGGAGGCGAAGAGACGGGGACAATAAGGTGTGATATCATGAAAAATAAAAGGAGTTATATTTGTTTGTCTCTCGGGTTTAAGCACCAAAAACAAAACATTATTAGGTGATGTTCAAACCAGGTGGTGTATGTTTGTGCTTTTGCTCTGAGCTGCTAAGATAACTTACAATTAGAACTAATGATCTAATCATTAAGGCAAACAGGGCACTTAGAGAACACTAATTTATACAATAGAAAACACAAATTATACTTAGTAAAACTACATAGTCATTCAAATTTTACCAAAATCAGCAAATACCAATGCATCATGCAGGTGTATTTCACTGCAGGTGTATTTTACTGCAGGTGTATTTGCTACCTGGATTACAACAGATAGTGCAGGTGTATTTCACTGCAGGTGTATTTGCTACCCGGATTACAACAGAGTTAGGTGCCTGTACCTGTTCAACCAAATCCCTGGCTCTGGGCGTCTTTTTCTCCTCCAGGCTCTACATCAACAGTTTCAGCTTGAATATTTTACAGCCTTCAACCACTTCAAGTTTCTACCCAGTAATTAAAGCAGCAGAATTTCTGGTCCACATTCTCATCATTTTTTAGATAGTTTTGAACAATGTCAATTAGCCGAGCAGGAAATGAGCAAAACGGGCGATTTGCGATGACACTCTTCAATATTGAGATGATTCGATAAAATGTATCCATACAGTTCCTGTCTTTTTCAGATTTTTCAGCTGCAGTGGACTACTGTAGGTCTAAGAGAAGCTCAGTACCACAATTCATTATAGCTGACTCCATGTGATTACACAGAAAAATAGGCCTGTATACTGAGTCACGTTGTTGAACACATTTCTTTGCTGTATGTTTTTATTTATTTAGTCTTAAATGTTCCATGTTTTACCTATAATGTACCACACACACACACACACACACACACAATCCAAACAAACTAACACCCCTTCTCTTTAGATTCCAGATGATGTTGGCAGATATGACTCAAACAGCTGGACCATCAGATTTCTCATAAGAAAATAAGCAAATTACAAAAGAGTTAATCTTCCAAGTATTAAAGGATTATTTATCAATGGCTTGTTTTTTTGTAAGAGGTAAGAAATATTGTAAAATGATACAGGAAGTCAAAGGAAACCTCACCCATAAAGGGACAAGACAAACAACCATTCCCACTACATTTGCACTAATGATCAATTGACCTTATTGCGTAGCGTGTTTTTAGTACCTAGAGGAAACCCCCCTACACACGGGACAACACGTGACTCCATACAGGAAGACTGCACCAGTGATCTTCTTGCTGTGAAATGCAAGAGCACTAACTCCATTATGTGGCCTGGCAGTTAAAAACCCACACACCAGTTGTAAGAAGGTGGTTCACAGAAAGTTAACTTCATCCTTGTTTTCTTGAAATCACATGTAAGAGTATATATTATCCATATCCCTATCGAGACCCAATGAACCCAGCAAAACTCTTAACAGGAAGTGGCCAGTGGACACTGGAAACTGACGCTCAGGGAGATCTGAGGCCGTCTGCTGATAGGCAGACTGTCAACAGATCGATCAGAAAGGTGGAAGGAAACGGAAGGGAAGGATGTTCAGTGAAGACACTAAATGACCTCAACCCCCACCCCCTCTCACTAACACACACGGTCACGACTAGAATCATGTGAATGTCATCAGAATTGCGTTAACTCCCGTCAGCTGACAACAACAGCACAGTAGTCCGTCTCAACACCAGACATGAGGTCTGTCATCAAGCAGACATTTGTTGTCGTGCTTCTTCTCCCTGTTGCCAAGCTACTCCTGCTGCCAATAGGTGTAGTAGTGAATCACACTTGGTTGAAGTATTCAGACAAAGTGTATTGAGTGGGAGGGGCTCAAACAAACTATAAGGTGGAATTCATCTTACTTTGCTC